ACTTGAAATGGCTTGAGAAAATGTGTAAGGAATGGAAATATGGTGCTGGTAGGGCATTTCTTGGCATGTGCAAAACCATCATAGTAAAACCCAGGAAAAGTTCCATCCAATCATAAAAAGACATTTGGAGCAGGAAATAAGAAGTGCCTATCACTAAGTCATGTGGAAGCAGCAATAAAGCAGTGCCCATTTTTATGGAGCAATGAAGGAAATTTGTACTGTAATGGAATCAAAACATCCCAGGGAGAATGCAGATCTTGTCAACAACCGAAGAGTTATTACTCTGAGTTTTAACTAATTTGTGGCTAGTTTGTTTAGTTCACAATACTTGCAAGTACTTATTTCAACAATGTATTTTTGTATTGCAAAAAAATGTTTCTTAAGTATTTTAAGAAAATAAACATAATTAATATGAATTAGGTCTTGTATGAACTTTGTTGCATTTCCCAAGCTACACTATTCAAAAGGAAATCCTTTATTGATTTTGAAAGCACATTTCTCAGCATAATGCTTTGATAGTTAATCACTAACCCAAAGGAAAATAGGCATTATTATGTGGTTTAGATAAAAATATGGCAGGCACTAATAACTTACTCCAATGAAAGTACAGATGATCATCTTAGAAGTCTGATTTTGATTTTATGTTGTTTCCTAGAGATATTACCATATCTATGGCATTAAATGATACTTTATAAAATGTAATTATATTCTTAGACTGAAGATGTTTCCAAATTTAAGCATTACTTAGGCACTGCATTCTCACTCATTCATTATTTTCAAATTTGCCTTTTATTAGGTTTCTGTACCTCACGTTTCTTCTTCATGTTGCTGCCCAAAAATGTACTCTTAAAACTGTAACAATGCATGCTTCTTGGTCTAATGCAGGGGTAGGCAACCTAAGGCCCGGGGGCCGGATGTGGCCCAATAGCCTTCTCAGTCCAGCCTGCGGACGGTCCAGGAATCAGTGTGCTTTTACATGAGTAGAATGTGTCCTTTTATTTAAAATGCACATCTGGGTTATTTGTGGGGCATAGGAATTCATTCATTTCCCCCCCAAAATATAGTCCGGCCCACCACATGGTCTGAGGGACGGTGGACCGGCCCATGGCTGAAAAAGGTTGCTGTAATGTTACACACAGGCATGTTTGCCAGGAAAAGAGAATGGCTGTGGCTTCATGTTGCAATGTACATCAGGAGGAAAACACAGCTTTATTATCAAGTAATGACTACAAGTAAAAAGGAAATAGCTTCCTATTTTACAGCCATTTATAAATTTGGATATGGATTTTGTGTGTGTGCAAAAAATCAGTGCTGTACAATATGCTGCTTTCATTTCATTTAGGATTAGATGAAGTTTTATGTCTTAAATAAGTCCACTGTATTATAAATATTAGAAGCGTGTATGAGTTTAGATAATATTATCCGCATGTCTAAGAATTAAGGGATAGCAATAATGGAGTGTGTACAGTGTATTTTCCACATTTTCAACTGAAAAATGTCAGCTGTCAGCTTTGAAATAATTTTTAGCTGATCCCTTGCCTTCTAACCAGGGATGGGAGATCCAGATGTTGCTGAATTCCAGTTCCCATTAGTCCCAACTAGATTGATCAAGGAGGGCTACAGGTTGCCCATCCCTGTTTTAAACAATTGAATGATTAAATTTAAATAAATTTACATATTACCAAAACCTAAATATAGATATATTTTAAATAAACTAGAAAAGAACAAGATAAATTAAAACTTAATATAGAAAAAGATACCAATCATTGCTATAGGAAAAGGTCTTACTTGATATTTTCTTTATCACTCCCTATACAACACTCCCACAACAACAACAAAAACAGTTTTTAAAATAAGTACAGCTTAACTGTCAGTGCCACTGATTAAAATTTGCCCGTGGGGAGGGGAAAAGGGGCGAGGGTAGGATTCTAACTAAGGGTAAAGCAAAGAACGGACAGAACAAAGAAAGAAAAGAAGGAAGGGACAAACGTAAGAAATAGAAATAGAAATTCAACGTATCAGCAAGGAGCAACACAACTGTTTTTTTGAAAGAAATGCTTCTCTCCACTGCTTAATCAGATGCGCGCAGTGAAAAGAGGAAGCTCCATGCTGCGCACAGAGAATATATAACCTAAGGCTGTCAATCCATAATTGGCAACATCAAACTCTCACCAACAACAAGAGGAGCCCAATCACAACGGTGGACATCCAAACTAACCCGCCCGGCAACAGTGAGGTGTCTTGTTAACCCCACCGCAACCCATGCTCTCTATGTAGGAGAACACGCTCTCCCAAAGTTTGTATCTCCAAAGCTTTCCTCCCTAAAGCTTTAACCTAGTGATTAAAATGCGCTGTCCTAAACAACAATATATATCCCCATACAAGCAGGTGTTCCTGATGAAAGGTTTATCTCTGGAAAACACTTACTTTCCAAAAGAGGGATTAAGATGCTCAATGGCCGGTAATAATCATCTCTAAAAGCCTCTAATTGTTTATACCAGGGATAGATAATTTTTTTTCAGACCAAGGGCCACATTCCCTTTGGGAAACCTTTTGGGGGCCACATGACACATGGATCCAGAAGCAAAAGCAATGAATGTACATTTTATTTTTCTGCAACAGGCTAGTTTTACACATACTTGTTATCCTCTATCTAGGTCTTCCAAGCTAGGGCGTTTAGTGCTGAGACACTCTTGACAATGTCAGAATACAAGGTCATACAGAGGATTTTTCAAACTTGCATTAAGAAGGGGCTGCTCCAAGGACTGACACAGCAGTTCTGTTGGCCTGCAGCTGCACTGGCTCAGAGGATAAGAGCTGGTTTCCCGTACCTGTCCTAGGTGACAAGCCATTTTCTTGAACTACACTGGTCACACAGCTCTTGATTGTATGGTCTGCTGCTGCTGTGCATATTTTCCAGACATTTCCAGACCACGTTTCCAGTCAGTGTAGAGCAAGGCAATTGATTGCTTATACAGAGACTGACAACTGAACCAGAAGATTTGAGCAGTTCTTTGTTACCGTTCATTTTTAAAAAAAACATTTGGCAGACAGGAGAGGATTTTTAGTGCTCTTAATCTTGCAGCTTACTTTAGAACTCATTTACACATGCATGGACATAAATGTGTTGTGTAGAATTTAAAAACACATCAAATATAGCATCAACCTAGAACAGCCATTCAAAGATGTACAGACGTATGAAAATGCAATTCACCCCTGAGAATAATTCATAAAACCACTTGTCTCTATAGGAAGCCGAACTGAGGAACTACTAAAATAGTCATCTTACAACATGATCTGTTTAAACACTAATTTCCCACCCTCTAAGCAATTAAATAGAAATAGTTGAATAAGCATGCTTTTAGGTACTCTACTGTAAGTTATTATGCTTCTGCCTAGGCATTCTTGGTTCTGTTACAGACGTTATCCTCTTATTGAATATACACAGTCAAAAAGTACAGGAGAGGTGGGGTGGGGACTAATATATAGATTTATAATTGGCCACAGAGCATTTAGATGATAGTTCTACTCTTTATATGAGAAATTATTAATATATTTTGGACACAATTCATGGGCTAACTGATGTTCTAACTGTCCTACCACCCTTACCCAAACCCAAATAATAATGTGGTTACATTTTGCACTTCCAGATTAATGTACTAGCATTAGTACACAACTTTAATTTGCTCTTATGAGAACTTTAATCAAAGAGTTTTTCAAGAGCATTAAGCTCAGAGCTATCAAATCTGTTTATTTTGAATGCTAGGTCAAACTATAGTGGCTGGTTGGGCCAAAAAGATGGACATTCCATAAGCCATGTGCTTCTTTTATCTTGTTTCTATTTAAGCCCAAGTTTAATGGAACATATGAATTGGTGAACTCAAATAAGGCTACACATATATTTATTATTTGTAATTATTAGTCATATTAAACAGGTTATCTAGGTAGATACCCATCACAGAAGCATTATCTGTTTGCATGTTTTTATTATTTTCTTTCATGGATGTAAGCTGCCCAAGAGTATTGGTATTAAAAAGTGGTTCACAAATTTATACAAACAATCAAATAGAAATAAAATAAAATACTTAATATATATATTTCTATTTATATATATTTAAAATATATGAATATTTATTCACATGCCCAAATATCAGAATGCTATTTTTTCCCTTAGTCCACTGCTTAACCTGAAATGGGGAGGTACTATATTGAGACACAAATAAATTCCCTCATACTCCATTGTCAAAAGCCTTTATTTATAGACTCAACTTACTAACATTTCAATCTTTTCTACATACACTTGCAAATATAGTGATCACACTAATGTTTTACACTGAGCATTTGTTTCTGTGAGAAAGAACACAGCAATAACTAGTATCAAAGTTACTGTGCAGCAGAAAAACTTATTGCAGTGACCTCCCATACAGTACTTGGGATGTACCGTCTACCTGCTCTTTAGTATTCATGCAAAGTATCTGCTGTTTCTTTTCTCAGAAGTAACTGCTTATTTTATCTTATACAATATGTAGTGCTTTAAAGACAAATATTGCCTTTATATATTGTATTGTTTCACACTTATGAATTTATTTATTACCCTCAGGATCCCCTCCAACTCTGCAATTCTATGATACTCTGATCCTTAGGTACATAGCAGTAAAACTTTAATCTTCCATTGAATTAATCATATTTGGTATTCATGCAGCAACTTAAATTTTGTATTCTTCATAACAAACGAAAAACTATTGTGCTTTACCCATTAATTTATTACAAGTAAGCAACTTTGTTTTCCCTGAACATGCACATTCTGTATTCTTTGTTGAAAACAGTTCTGATCTGAACATATCCTGAGCAACATACAACAGTAAAATAGATCATGAGCTCAATCCATCTCCTATTAAAACTGATTTCGCCATTAAGTTCAGTGAAACCTGGACAACAGGCCAAGTGGTAAAACAAAAAACAAAAAGTATCTTGGAATTAATTAAGAACAATTATCTTACCGTGGCAGGAACCATCCACTTCTTCATACCCAACACTGCAGATGCATCGTCCTAGAGGCACAAGCCAATCCCCGTCTGCTCCACAATATAATTTTGGAGTGTCCCGCTCCTCAGCACTCTTCACACAGGAACCTCGTACTTCCACTAAAGATGAAGAATCAACCCTTGGAATAGTGTCAGGAAACATAGCCAAATTCCGAACAGTGAAAGGACACTTTTTGTAGTAAACACGGACAGAGACCAAAGCAATGCACGCACCAATGTCTTGAAAAGCAAGAAAAAATCCTTTCCTGTTTATTGGTCCCACCTCACGAACTTCTGTGTTCAGTTTAAGGATGCGATCACCCAAATCCATCTGAGTAAAACTCTCATCAGCTGCAATAGTATCAATTTTACTGTACTGGTTTGGCTTGAATTTAATTCCATGGGATTCATCTGATTCCAGGTAGTAGAGGTTAAATGTTTCCTTGCATGTTCCCAGTACCCATGGAATGCTGTTGCAGTCCCTCAGTGTAAACTTCATTTCCACATAAATTTTCTGAGCTGCATCACGGGAGATCCAGTTTGTACGAAGCCAGTTGTTCTGGTTGGGTTCCATAACATTACATACCTGGTAAGTGTGGATGGGGCGATTATATTCATCCATTTCTGTTATAGCATCCCACTGAAAAGAAAATACAATTCATGAAAAAAATTAATCCTTATCCACACTTTCAATTGTTGCCAGTATAGAAGACTGACCTTAAAATTGCAAGGAAACCAACACAAATATAGAAATCAGATGCATATTAAGGATCAGGCTATTATCATTCTAATGATTCTTATTTTATTTTCCTCTAGATGACTTTTAACCACACGATAATGTGTATTAATATTCAGTTGCGTGCCCAGGTGCAGTGAGCCCACCACCCCTGAAGCTGGGGAGTGAGAAGCAAAAAATTACCTAAGTGGATGATCTGGGATCGAAACAGGCCACAACGTTTATTGATTACAGATGTAAGTAGGCTTAGGGGTATCCTGAACCATCCAGTCAGTCTGCTAGCTGATTACAATTGGGGTTTGATCCTGGGTTTGGATTGCCCTATGACATACTGGATTTTCCCGTCTATAAGACGCCCCCATGTATTAGATGCCCCCCTATTTTGGGGGACTCAGATTTAGGGAAATGGGGGGAGATATATCTGTGTTTAAGATGCCCCCCCTAATTTTTAACATTATGTTTTTAGGGGGGAAATCTAGTCTTATACACTAAAAAATACGGTACATTGAATAAGACCAACTCTTAAGGATCACCCCTCAGCCCTTGTCTGGGCATTCGGACAGAAGCACCTCCCCTAGGATTCTTGCAACCGGGAGCGGAGTGAGCTGCCCATGGGGGCGGGGTGAGCCAAGGCAGGGTGTGCTGCGTGGAGTCTCTCTGCAGCCTCCCCCTCAGCTGTAGGGCGGCTGAGGCAGTGGGCAGACACAAGCCCCGCGCTGCTCAAAAAGCAGCGTGGATGTCAGGAGCTTGCAGGCAGTCTGCCTGCCGCCTCCCTCTCAGGAGAAATGCATAGCTCAGGCATGCTGCAGGCCCTGCGGTGTGACACCCAGTGCCCCCTGCCTCACCTAGCTACGCCTCTGGATTGGGCAGATACATGGATGAGAGGGCTGTCGAAAGCTACTAGCCATAAAGACTGTGCTCTGCCTGCAAAGTTGGAGGCAGCAATACTTCTGGTTTCTGGAAATCACTTGAGGGGAAAGTGCTCCTGCAGTGGCGTAAGAAGGGGGTGCAGTGGGTGCGGGAGTTATTTTTTTCCAAAAACACATATCTTTGCCATTTTGTCACCCCCCTCAGTGATGACCCCTGGGTTTTGACCATATCTACCGCACCCCACTTCCTGCGCCACTGGATCCACCCCCTGGCGATGTGCTCAAAACTCACCCACAATTCCTAGATTTGTGGGTGGGAAAAATTCAACCCCTTCCCCCCCACCCAGGCAACAGGAGAGGAAATGATTCTCCCGATGGCTGTTGAGGTGTGTGGGAAGAGGAGCCCCAGCAATGACAGCCAGCTGCATTGCGCCACAACTGTGGCCTCACAGTTGAAAAGGTAAACGGGATTTGTCTTAATAAACAGCCTGTTAAGTTACTGAACCTCAATACACATTTGCAAGCAGGCACGAAATATATGTGTACAGTTTGCACATACAAGCTATAACTTACTTTCATATGGGAAGGCATTTGTCTAAAATGACCTTCGTGTGAAAAGTGAGCCACAGCAACAGCAGGGATATTAGGTTTCCTGTATTTTGTTTGTCATGCTATATTCCAGGATCAAGCTTTTCTTATCAGAGCAATATGAACAGGTGACTTTCCATATGAAACTGATGTGGCACAATTGTCATGTGAAGACTGTACTTCATATGACTGACACACAGATATGAATAACCCTTTAGTCTTATTTTAAATCAACATATATTTTATCCAATTAGATTTATTCAGGATTGAAATCTAAGTCATGGTTATAACCTTGACACTGAGAATATTGGCATATTTCGTATCTGTACGTTCAAAAGAAAATTTGAACTTATTTGCTATTACTCTGCAAACACTTGCAGAGTAGATAGTAAAGATAAATACCGTACAACAAGCCAGCAGTACCGAGTGGATGATTATGGATAATATATGTAAGAACATCATCATGAAGAATAAAGTTTACACAGAATAAATAAAAGATCATACTATATGCAAAAAGTTAAATAATGCATCAGAAGATAGCACTTCTAGGCATACATATTAGTTGCAGATCTGAATACTACAGCTGTGTCAAAGTGTAGCCATGTAGGAAACTAATCATACTGCTCTATTCTCCATACAGAAGGAAAATGAGAAAATTCCACTTTATTTGTATTTCACTCCAGCATGAATTTGAAAATTTTCACTGTCATTAAACATGCACGCGCGCGCGCACACACACACACACACACACACGCACACATGAAGGAGAGTCTTTATTTAAAAGTGGGGAGAAAGTTATCATAAAGCTATGCTTTCCACAGCCTCGTACATGAATTCACCCAGGAAGGAAGAGCACCCTGAAGGAGGCATAGAATATTGCCATAAACCTTTTTGAAGCTACATCACTCCAAAGGCTACAATTAGACCCCAGAATGCACAGAGGTCCATGTGGACACAAGTGCACACACTCACGAGCCTCTGCTGCTTTGCAGCAGACCAACTGGTCCATGAGAGATTTCTTTAAAATCCTTTGGACTGTTATATGAGGCAGACCCGCAATTTCACAGGAAGTGATCATGCCTGAACAGCAAACAGACCCAGATTAGGTCTCTCAGCATAACTTGTTACTGGCTAAGGGTCCTGCAGATCCTTGTCTATTTGAACTCCTCCTCCTCCTTGCCCCAGTATTTTGGCAGTTTGCACTGTCTATTCCCTATGGGTAAGCTGGGAACAGCCAGACTAAACTAGGTAGAAGTATCCAACCCTCCTCCAGCATGAAAGATCCAGAGGCCGGACTGCTCTACTCATAAGTATTTCAGAAAAGGAGAAAAGACCCACAAAGCAAGAGGCAATAATGGAAAAAGTTCCCAATTAGCTTTCATAGGCAATCAGTTTCAGCCCACACTGGCCTGCCACCAAAAAGGAGAACTACTAAGTGCAATTCTTTTTTGTCAACTGTGCTATGGCAATGGAGCTGCAACAATTAAATAGGGGGAAAGCATGGCACCATCTTAGGTTTTGACCATGAGAAGACCCATTAATCTGAGGCAAATAAGTCCCTGCCTCCTGCTAACTCTTCCTGCTTAGCAACTGGAAGCAAACATGACTCTCCATGTGGGAATGAGAAAAACCTATTACCGTATTTTTCGCCCTATAGGACGCACTTTTTCCCCTCCAAAAATGAAGGGGAAATCTGTGTGCGTCCTATGTGGCGAATGCAGGCTTTCGCTGAAGCTTGGAGAGCGAGACGGGTCGGTGCGCACCGACCCCTCTCACTCTCCAGGCTTCAGGAAACTATCAGCAAGCCTGGGGAGCCCGCGGGAGTTCCCGCAGGGCTCCCTAGGCTGCGGATAGAAGCCTGCTGCCTGAAGCGCGGGGCGCGCTGAAGCCGCAGCTGGGGGGGGGGGGAATAAAATTTTTTTCTTTATCCCCCCCCAAAAAAAATTAGGTGTGTCCTATGGGCCGGTGTGTCCTATAGGGCGAAAAATACAGTACGTTTATAGCCATTGAAGGTGACAACAGATGCATTACAACAGAACGTATTATGTTTGCTCTAACCACTCCTATAGAAACAAAGCCTCCAAATGTGTGCACCGTTGCACCTGAGGAAGAAAATCACTAATACTAAGCATGTGAGCTACAAAGGCCTTTGAGACAGGCAATAGATGAGTAGCATTCTGTCTGTATATTGATTGATATACCACAAAGATGAGCATCTGTTCATAAATACCACTTCAACTACCAGAGTTCTTCCCCTTACTGTTATAAAATTCCATAACGTCTATTACTAACTTTTACAGCTTTTCATATTTGCTGTGCAATTGTTCTGAGGAAAATGGAATAAAAGTTGTTTGCATGCATATCTACATACACTATAACAACCTATCTCAATATTGGGTCCCCTGATGAACGACAACAACATCTGTGGACCGAAGATTGAAAAAGGCAGCCCTAGAGACATCAAAATAAAGTTTTAAAAATATCTATAAGTATATAGATTTCACACAGCTCTGCCTTTCCAACATACTCAAATTAGAATTTCTTTATTTCGTATGTTCATGTCATCCAAATGTGCCCTGCTAGTAGGAATTACAAGTGCAGCTATTTATTCATAGTTCTTCCACACAATGTTTGCAGCATACTTCCTATTTCCCAAAACTTAAATTAGATTCTGTAACTTGTCTAATTAGTGTTGCCTATTTAAAATACACATGTAAGCAAGCTCCAAAATACATTATTTGGTTTACAAAAACAATAACTGTGTTCCAATACTATGCACGTGTCTGTTTAAAGTCAGAACAGACCTCAATATAAAGTATGTCAATTTCTCATTGTTCTACAGTAGCAGCTTTTACAGATGACAAAATTTCACAAGAGGAGCATTTCACCCTTATAAATGTACAACAGAAGCAGACATAATATCATTTTTTTCTAGTGGTACAACTTGAATAGCAATGTTAATAAACAAATATATAACCCACAATCTCTTATTACCTGTCAGACAGCTGAGAAGGCAGAAAGATACTATAAAAGCATGTGCTAAGTTAGTCGAATATACTGAATACATTTTTTATTTGAAATGCAAACATAATTCTCTAAAGAATAATGTTTGGAAGGGAGGTGGCAGGGATTTAGTCTCACTAAATCCAAAAAGAACAAATTTGGACATGCATAAAGAAGCAAAGTTTGGCTTCATCTATGATTACTTGGAATTGGAAACAATGGATAATTCAATTTAAGACAAATATTGAATGCCTTCAGAATGCCTGGTTAGACCCAAACTCACCATTTATAGCCATTATTGACCACAAATGTACAGTCGGGTCCATGACTTGGGATTCACTGACTATGTGTGCAAACACATCCATGAAGAAATGAAAGAGAAGTTTTTAAAATATGTTAATACTACATTAAATATGAGAAATGAGGATAGATCTACTTTCAAATATTTAAAGAACTGCACTAAAGATAATGGAATTCACTGTTTTTAGTCTTTGCCACAGAGAGAAGCAGCAGGCAGTGGATCTGACCTATAGGAATGGTAAGGTGGCAATTAGCAAATGTTTCTCAATACAAGTAAGAACTGATGAATACTGTTGAGGAATAAGTTAATGAAGCCAGAGTTTTTCTGCTACTTTTTATTTTCCACTCTCTTGTTTTTTGCACAAAGAAAGTATTTCCAAAATATTATGAATGATGTGTACATGTACAGCCTATGTGTCTGTTTGGCTGGAGGCAAAATACACATACCCAAATGGTGCCTCTATAAGCATAGTATTTATAAATTATGCTGCTCACCTCATTTTTGTTTTTAGAATTGGTTCTTTTTTGATTTTTTTTTATTGAAGCTTATAACTCAAAAAATATAAGATGCTGTAGTGCACGATATGCTACACAAAGCACTCTGAGGTGCATATTCAAGTCAACTAGAAGTTCCATCCTCCTCCCTTCCAATGTTGGTACCCTAAGTACTTGTTCCATATACAATCTTGCACATTTACTCTGAATCCAAGAGTAACATATAACATAGTGGCCCACAGATTATCTCCTATAAGAAATATTTTTAAAGACATGCCAAGGAGTGTTCTTTCAGAGAAGGCTTAATTACAGGGAATCCTGTCTCCGCATTTGTATGTACCTAGACAATACCTGACATTCCTTCAAGCTCTTTGATTTTAAGTAAGTAATAGTTTATATATTTGCCATTAAAGATTGGAAGTCTGTTGAATGTTACTGTAGCATGGATGCTTTTGAAAACTAAACAGCCCATAGTAGGCATTAGCTCCTTATAAGAAAAACTGTATGGATTTCTTTTTTATTATATTAGAGGCAAAGGTTTTATGCAAGTGTATTTTGGTTTGGTTTTGCATGTTTAGGAAATGCAGTCAGGAAATGTTGTCCAGAAGGCACTTACCAGATTTTCCAATGCATTATGGCAACACTGCAAACCAACCCATGATACTGTTACCAGTTTATGGGGTGTGTGACACCCTAAATTCCTGGGTCCAATAAAAGGTAGACTTAATCAAGATTTGGGAAGTTAAACCATTACAAATCTCTTAAGTTAAAAATACAAGGCAGGCCAACCTGGTGATCGCTCATCAGTTTGTTACGGGTTATTAGGAGAGCAAAGCTTGTTAATAACCGAGTCATTATGGAAACAAGGGGGGAAGGGAGGTGAGTGATTAACAAAGCAGTTACTTTGTGCTGGACAGCAGTGGGGGTGTGAGCCCCTCCTTCCTCTAGAGAGGTAGTAAGTAGGAGACAAAAGGCCAGAATTTTTAGGATGAAAGTTGGCAGTGATGCGCTGGCAAAAACTGGGACAGGCTGTAAGAAGGAGACAGAACACATGTCTGATTTCTGATTTTAATCCAAGGCTGTTGTGCCTACGGGAAAGCAAGAGACCCTCTTGGAAACCTCTCCATCGTAGACTCAGATTGTATATGCAGTATGCACAAATAAACCACAGTGTTCCCCTAGCTACCAGCATGAGTTTGACCAAACTGCGGGAGGCAGTGGAAGACAGGAGTGCCTGGCGTGCTCTGGTCCATGGGGTCACGAAGAGTCAGACACAACTAAATGACTAAATAACAACAATAATAAAGGCATCACAGTCTCCACTGTGCCTCATTTGTAAAAGGAAACACAAATCTTGGGTAAGGCCTGGAGCCTCACACCATTCAGAGATTGGGGTGGCATGCAACAAGCAGTACTGACACAACCAAGTTTATTTTGGCATGGGTGCTTGCGAATGTGTGCATGTTCTATCATATGAAGCCATCCATCACAAAAACAGATATAGGAGCAGGCATGTGAGGAGCAGAAAACCACCAAATCGCTACATTATATGTATTAGAGCCATCACAAGCCTATGTATCTGATATGCCAAAATGCTAAAAATGGTGTTGGCTGCACCTGACTCATCCAGTATGGCAATGACAGTTCTGAACCCAAGGATCTATGCAGCAATTATTGTGAATTTTTTTCAGACTAAGGCTACGATTTCCCATCCTTTACTGTGGACTTGTTTAAAGTAAAAAGAATTGCTCTAAGTTTAATCAGATAGTAGACAGATTGCTTATTTGGATACAAATTCCACTGACTTCAGTAGACTACCCAGAAATGATGTTTAGGATTATAGCCTCAATGAGAAATGCGATTACAATTTGTGACAGCTATGTAGTTACTCCAAAAAAGTTTGATTTAAAATATTTTTCTTCTTTTTAAAAGGAAGTAGAAAAGTAAAGTAGAACACAATGACTGTAATAATTTGAATTTGAACAGCTTAAGCATGGAATTGTCTTGCTGCAGGGAATTACTTTTAAAGCCAAAAGTTACAATGTGCTTCTTTCTCACCAAAAAGAAAAATGGTTGAACTGTCATCCTCCTAATGGGATAGTTTCCATGAAAACTATTTAAATATTCACTTTGAACCAATATCCTGGTTTGAACTTCGGAAATTAGAGCTTTGAATTCTGCTACTAGGCATTTAGTTAATAGTGCAAATCTCCATTCTTCATGAGGAAAGAAAGGATTCCGAATTTAAATAATGACTAATTTAAAGGATAAAATGGTGGTGAGGGCTATCAAATATGGATAATCTCTATTGCATTCAAGGCAAACAGTAAAAAAATGCAAAGGGTATCTATAAATGATGGATAACTAATTTATTTTAATGTAAGTTAGTATCTAGCCACTGTCTCCAAACCAGACTAATGATGGTTTGACAACCTCTACAACACATTTGGCTGGCAACTTGTTTAAAATGGGACATTAGTCCAGAGAGGTAAGTGGGCGAAGGCCACCAAAAAGGCAGAGGGTTCATCACCAAACCACTCTTAGATCTGTTGTGCCCACTTACACATCACATAATGAATAGCATATGCATAATTGAAAAAGAGAAAAATTATGGATAAAATTTGCATATGGTAATTTAAATGTAAATAAGCAACTTTTGAAATAATTTCTAGAATTCTTCTGTTAATTAACTACTCCATGGAGTTCAGTGCAATGCACAGTTGTTCCCCATTCCCATTTTATTCTCATAGGATAGCATAGGATAAACACTCCATATGGAGTGTAGCCAAGTATAAGACTTGCCCATCTGCTAAGTACAGAGTTCATTTGTACTCTAAACCCACAGCAAATCTTCTGCACATTTCTAAACTCCTGTTTTGAACTACTATAGTAAAACCTCTGCATAAACAAATCTGAATTGCTGTACTGAATTTTTCACTGTCAGATCCACAGTTGGAAGACAGAAGTACTATGATATTATTAACACATGCAGAATTCTGATGAAGCATATGCTAGTGATTTTACTTTGAGTGTATTTTTGCATGGGGGGAACATCCCAAAGGCTGGGTTAGAGAACTATTATTTAAACATGATATGAAACTTCTGCTGAAACATCAGAACTGACATTTATTGGCCTGCATGGGAAACTTTGTATATAAACTTAGCTGAAGTCAGCACTATTTTGTCCTTCACTTAAATAGAGCATGAAATTTTTATGAATTTAAGTGTGTTGGTAGAGAGAAAGAATCACAACAAGAAGAAACATTTTGAGTGAAATGCTCAATTTATTAACACCTCCTCTATGTTTATATCAACTGCTGTTTCCTGGGTTTGAATGAAATGCATTGCAAAGATTTTTCTAACCTTGAGTGGTTCAGCAATGGAACAAAATAGCTTGACAGGCTGTGGAATTTGTTTTCTTTGACAATTAAAGGAAACTGAGAGGCAGTGTGCATTTTTTAAGTATACACTATCGATTGATTCGCTCTCTTACCTGCTTATGCCTGAGCTGCTTGTGCACTGTCAGGGATAATTGTCTTTTTAAAAAGCCCATATGCAAAATTATATACAAAAAGTAAGTCTATTGTATATGAATAAAAGTCAAGCTCTATGTGAGACTATATTCCTAGAGCATATAAGCATTAATTTACATATATTTTTATCAAGTAGTATGCATTGTATGGATCTGTTTATATGCTGGTAAATTTAGGGAACCTGATTATATGAATATATTTGTATAATACGTGCTTAATTTTATACGTATGATAATAAATACAATTTGTGAAAAATCTTCATATTTTTAATGGAACTGGGGAAAAACAACCTCGCTTCTCATCAGGGTCAAGACAAGAAGTAGAAAAAATTCAGAGGGTAAGGTCAAAACTGAGTAAATGCCATCCTTATGGGTATGAAAGGTGTTCCATATATTTTGGGCAGTTTTAGTCATACCAGTACAAATCCATGAACAAGAGATCCATGGAGCCACTATTAGGGTATGATGTGTAGCTTTGTTTACATAGTTTCAAGAAACCACATATATGGATTGCTGCACATATGAATGAGTGCTGAATATTTACTGCACTGTAAATATTGCTATATTAAGGTCAGTATCTTGCAACCAATGAAGCATTTTAAAATACCATGAAATTATGAAGACTGTACAAAATACATAAATGAGGGCAAGACTGTATTGAAGAAAAGCAAAATGCTGAATGGGTATTTGGAGAACTGATTTTATAGCTTATGTTGGCTATACTGAAGAACCCAAATCTTCACAATAAATCTTCTCAACGTTAGAACAGTTTATAATCCCAAAACTATGATAATCCTAATAATTTATATCTTCATGATTTTCTTAAAATAAATATGAATACAATATATTTACCACATTAATTTTGACTGCCTCTTTAAAGAGGGATTGCATGAAACTGAAGACTTTTTCTTATGGTTTGCACTTTCCAGTTTTAAAGATTTAAAATAAAAGTTTATATTAGTGACATTCTTTAGCAATGACATTTTATAGCCTTGTAGCCAAATGTGCTTGAACAGGCATTTCTACACTCAGGGTTCTTCCTTTTGTATTGCTAGTATTTCTTTTTTAAGCTCTGGGGATAGTTTGTCTGCATGATAAAATATTCTGAAATGTAATCCCTACATCTTATTAAAAATCTGTGACTCATATTCAATTTGAACAGTAGTGAGATTCTCAGCTTGTAAAATGCCCAGAGCGGACCCCGGATTTGAAATCTACACAAAACAATAGAGTTAAAACCTTAGCTCTTCTTCCTGATGGGCTTCGCCAACAATATTACTAATACTACTACCATACAATCATTAATAATGCTTAACATTTGTACAGAGTTTTTTGGTGTTCAAAGCACTTCCCATGCATATGACTTCTAAGACTTACAACAACTTTGTAGGTTCACTCACCTAATGAGTTAAGGTAGAGCTGAGAGTCAAATCAGATACTTTTGATTCATAGATCAGTCTCTTAGCTGCTACACCACATCACAAAGGTCTCATTTAATTCCAACAGTATACTATAAGGAATGTAAACATTACAAGGTAGCGAGAAAGAGGTCTTATACAACATTTTTTTTTAAAAAAAATGTGTTGATGTTGACTATTTGCATAAGCATCATTTAAAATGTGTAGCCTGGAGGCTGACTCAGAATTGTACAAAAGAATAATTCCACAACAATACCAATCTTTACACAGGGCAGCATAAAATGTCCTTACATCTTTATTTTGATAAGGATTTGCTTTCATCTTAATTATAAATGATTGTGATAAGACCAATTTTGTCACAGCATCATTTGTGAAAGGGAAGTTATGGTGTGCTTTTCACTGCAATTGGATTTTTTTAAAAAATAAATGCCTTATTATGTTTTTGATTTAAAAGTCCACGTAAAGAATCATTCTGTTATCATCTAGTTTGTAACTAAAGTGATATACTATGCACTTCCAATATATGTGAGAACTGAAGCATTTAGTAATAGTACATTGTGTTCATATAAATGACTGAAAATGTTCCATCAAATTAAACTCTGGGCCCTATTCACATAGGAAAAAAATATCCTTGTCTTTTGAATACAGCAGAAGCCAGGTGACATTTGAGGAATGGGGAAGAAAATTATTTGGGAGGTGTATGTATTACTTATTTATAAGATGGCTTAATATTTTCTCTTTTTCTTTTTTTAAGTTTACAAAGCTAAGCTGTGTGCTCAGCACCAGCTTGGCTCCTACATGCCTTGAAACCCATCCACTACTGTCCAGGAAAGGACACAGTGAAATGGTGTAGTGCTGTTGCCAGGGTCACTGTACAGTGAACGCTCGGATTGCGAACATGATCCGTGTGGGATGCACGCTCGCAACCTGCAGCAGCATGTCTGCGTATGCGCAGGTTGCGCTTCTGCGCATGTGCGAACGCCAAAACCCGGAAGTAACCTGTTCCGGTACTTCCGGGTTTCGGCAGTCTGCAACTCGAAAAAAGGCAACCTGAAGCATCTGTAACCCGAGGTATGACTGTACAGAAAAAAGATTGCTATATCCACGATTACCTACATAGCATGCATGCATACATACATACATACATACATACATACATACCACTATGTTATGTGGGCCACAATTAGTTGAATTTACCCATCTAAATATTTCAGGAAGAAGCAGCAGTAAGCAGAATGGGAAAAAATGCATTGAAGCACAGAACAAGAATTGAAGGGAACATTCTCATAAATCAAAGTATAATTTTACTTATGGAGAAACTGACAAAGTTATGAAAGGTTGGGCTAAGAAACAAACTCTTGGGCACATAAAACTATTGAAAGTAAATCTTTGGCTACATATGACTCTCTCTTATCAAGAGAAAAAATATTCAGTGAAACATTGAAGTTAAGTAGATTGAAGCAACTGGCTAGTTCCTACAAATGAGACCATTGAGCTCTCTGTATGCAAAGCAAAACACAAATGAAATAAATATATCACTGTATTATAAAGCACCAGAGATTATACTGCAGATCTTAAAACACAGACTAGAAATAGTGACCTTCAGCTTCTCCTTGCTGTCACATATTACCCCAAATTTATTTCTATGTGACTGACATTTTCAGTATAACACAAATGCTCCAAGGTTTTAATTAAAGTTCTTCCTGCCCACGTCAAATTCTCATCTTTTTTCTTCTTTAGACTCTGTTGATCAACCTCTTAAAATCTCTTCACACATCTTGTGATATACTTTCTGACAGCATCTCTTTCAAGTATTCAGGCCTCTGTTTTTTCTTTCTCTTGCTGTCTGCAGCATTTTTATTTTATGTTCTGTTTATATGTGATCTCATCCTGTCACAGGTCTTCTGTATGCTAATGACTCAGAAATATTTGCAATAAAACATGAATCCTCAGGAGGTCCATTCATACATTATGAATTGAACTAATCTGTGAAACAATCAACTCACAACAGTGGTCTCATCCTGTATGAACAATGCCTAGCAGAAACCATACTCATAGAAGATATCAACCAGTCAGATTTTATTTTGTGTAGGCAGTGCTTATTACAGTGCAAGTTAAAAAAAAAACAAGCAAGAGAAACCACAACTGCAAATTATGAAAACTTAATATTGAAGATGTCAATGACAACTCCCACAAACAATTAAAATAGGGGAATAGATATTCCTACACCTGAACATTTCCATCTTTTTCTCTGTGCACATTCTTCTCCCATGTTACATTGGCCACAATTATTTGCAGCAGTAAGGGCTGATTCATAAGGCATTATAATTTTATAGTTTTGACTATCATGAAATTTCATATCCTTTGTGCCCTGGAATATGTGGGTCTCATCAAAGGCCACCTATTGGAGATGCTGAGTCACAAAAGTGTGATACTAAGCAAGTATTTTGAGGAGAAATATTTCAGAGAGTTTATCAGTCATATCTCACAGATTAGTCTGTGGTTTGCTTGGGGAACAGGGAGTACATAGGGAATGGAATGACAGCTTGAGAAAGGATTCAGCATAATGAGGAAGCTAGCTTTGGTTGGTTGCGTAGGCACTTGCAAGCAAAACAGGAAAAAGCCACTTGGTGACACAATGAAAGATCCTTGTGTTCTGACTACAGCTGTTTCTGTCTGCAGGAGAGTTAAAAAGGCTCAAAATAATGTGAAAGCTGGTTTTGTTGGTTACCTAGGCACTACCAAACAAATAGGAAAATGCCACTTAACACAGAATAAGGTCAATCTGGGTTCTCAGACAGCTGCTTTCCACTACAGGAGAGTACAAGTTGCAGTTTATTTTCCAGTATTCTTCAAGGTAAACAGGGGCAGACTGAGAAACAACTGCATGTGGTGACAATGCTTGCTAATTTTGATTTGTATCTCTGATTCTATGATGTCCAAGACTTCTATTTTTTAAAAGGAGAGTGAGAGAGAGAGGGATTTGGAGCCAGCCAATGGTGCAAACATACATTTGTGGTCTGGCTAGAAAATGGATATAACCTGGCCAACTGTGCAATGTGTTAACCTTTTGTGCCCCCTCCTTTGAGTGGCAAGGGCATTTTCCAATGTGGTCATTTTTGTCAGCTCTGATTCTACAGTGACATGAATTTATTTCGGCAACCCCAAGGGAAGAAAGATGGACCCAGATAGGGAATTTTTAGGTCAATGAAATAATAATGAACTGCTCCTTCTCATTTTGAGCCATCTCCAAGTAATATACAATTTATTTATTTATCTCGCTTTGTCCCAGTACAGGACCCAAGTCTTCTCACAGCGTAAATTAAAACAGATACAACTACAACAGATACTTGATAAAAACCACAGCAATTGGTCAATTAGTTCTCTTTTGCACATTGGTAACTTTAGACATTCATATATTTTAAATAATTTTTTAAAACACATTTTTTGAGAGTGCTCTACATTTTTGTGCAATAACTACAGGTATTCATATTATAAAAGAATAACACTTAATTGCATTTCAAAATAGCTGTGCATGAAACCGGGCAAATTTGTTCAATGAGCTGCTAAGGCTTCTAGTACTACAGTTTCCAGATTCCATCATATAAATTATTTCAGAAACTGCTCTCTCATGTCTTTAATTGTGGATTAGATCCAGGCTGCACATTCTCAAATACAGATCATACCTATGCATTCTCCATAAGGATGTATAGCCATTGCTCGTGCTCCTCACATGCCCACTCTTCCACAACCAATAGCTTGAACTGATTGCCTAAACTTAACATTAACTTTTCTCACTGGGGCCATTAATACTGAATGGTATTTTAATTGAAGGAATGTGGATAGGCTATTTTTCCCCTTGCAGCAAAAATAGCTTCCTTCTGTCTTTGCAGTGGCCAAATTCCTATCTACATTACCAGTATATATTCACAAGTAGACTTCACATGGTCACACATCAGTATGATGAGCTATCAAGCTAGCTAGTTATTTTTCCTTAATTAAAATTCACTGAGGTGAAAATCATTAGCATGGTATGAAAATAGAAGGGGAAAAAAAATCAAAACAACCTTTAGTCTATTGGGCACGGGTAATAAAGTTTTGTTTTTAACTCCATGAGAATCATCTCTGAAGGTCGAGTCGAAGGTTAACTCAGAGGAAATAAAATAAAACATTTTTGGAACTTCCCTTGCTTATTGTTCAACAGGAGCTTCCATTGCAAGACTTTACGCAAACACACACACACACACACACACACACACACACACTATACACGCAGTGTCTTGATCCACTTTCCAGTAGAATAGAAGTTGCTTATAAAAATGCAAATCCAAAGTATGCATAAATATAGATGGAACATGTTTAACTTTAGCATTAAAAATGATGCAGAGAATCGTTCAGGTCTCTGGGTAATTTAAATCACAGTAATGAAATGGGAGTTGTTATTTGGAATGGCATAGTGGAGACAAATCAGTACTTGGGCTCAAACAAAAAAAGCAAAATAAACTTAACTATTTTAAGGTTGCTGCAATATTTTCACATTTTTTTCTAAAATGGTATTTTAGCTTATCAAATGGTAAAGTGAAACTATATTTTAAAATATGTCTCCAGGATAAGAATGAACAAAAATGTGTAACTTGCATTTTGTCAAACGCAGAATGAAGTAACATGATTAGTAGAATCACATGATAATCAACTGGACTGTATCACTTCAGGCTGTATATCCCTCATAAAAAACTCAAGGAGAAGACTGTACTGATTCTTTCTTCATGTGCTTCTCATCACTGTTGAAGAAGTTTTTTGGGGAGCGTTCTCCCATCAGCAACCTGAAGTCTTGCAATCTGTGAAAAGCTTTACCACCTGATTCTGCTGATTGTATAAATAGGTCCTGTTCTTTAACACAGAAGATTCTGTTTCATTACAATAATACACAAATTATGGTTTCTGATTGAAGTAGTCAAGATTGCAGAGTACTTTTAAAACTTGCCATTCAAATTTATGCTCCTCCAAATCTATTCACATCACTTTGCGAATTTTAAGCCCCCAAAGAGATCCTGTGTAATCCAAGTTATAATACGGGGAAAAAATACTACTTCAATTACACACACATGTGCTCACAAAGCCAGTTCTCAAACAAAACTGATGATCAGTAGTGCCAACTTGGACAGCATTAATCAGCTGTTTGTCATGGGCCCCAAGGTGATGCCATGATGATGCAGGTCAGATCAGGAGAAAGGTGTTGCCCATGGATGACCCTGGAGTGGTGCCCAGCAGGATGGGGTTGGTCTCTTCCCAGGACTCTCCACCTTTAATGACTCATTGGAATCACTACTCTGACATCACTGGCCAGCTCCCACTGGGCCCCTCTCTGGGGTCAATAATGGGCAACACCTCTTCCCTATCCTTGCAGTCAGAGTAGCCTCTGCTCTGATGGTTTCCCACGAGTACAGTTCTTGCTAGTGCTCTGCCCATTGCTTCAACTGCTTGTTGCAGTCTGTGATGATCTCTCCAGACAAGGTTTTCAGCAGTACAGTTTTCTTGACTATTGGTCTAAAAGCTGCCTTCATGCCTTTGGACTTTGTGAGTGTTGCTGCTGTCAGCAGCAAGCTGAATGCTCTGACACAGCTTTAGCCAGTAGTCATTAACATATTGCCTGACAAGGGCATCTCTCCTTGCCTTTCTCAGTGCAGTAAGCATCTTCTGACAGGGTGCACACTTGTAGTTCACAAGTGCCTTTTGCTTTACAGTGATAACTGGCTCCATGTCCTTAATGCCAGCCTCAAACTGTCGGATATCTGTGCCCTCTTTTTCCAAAAGAGGATGTAACCGTGTTGTTGGTTTCCTCTTTGATGAAGTTCCACCTTGCTTCAATGCTGTCTCTGTAGTGCATGTTGGACAGAATCAAGAGTTCAGCTATGACTGTTCTGGCAGTGTTGATTCAAAGCGGCACTTGCTGCTTTGTGCTATGGGTCCTCTTTGGCTGGAGAAGGATCTTGTTCAGTACCAGGGAGTGATCTGTGTTGCATTTGGCACTGTGTTAGCGCCATGTGACACGAACACACTTCAGTACCGATTGCCTAGTGACAATCAAATCCAGCTGGTGCCAGTGGCCTGACCTTGGACGTATCCAGGACACATAGGCGAGCACAACCAGTGTGGTCACACTAGGTGTAGAGCTTTGGGGGGAGGGGGAGCACAACTATCATATCCAATGGAAGGCGAGAGGCAAGGGGTGCTGAATTTTGAGGTTGCATAGGGTGTCACTGACATTTGAGACACCAAGGTCCGCCACAGCATATATGAAATATTTTATGATTTAACATGTTTTTCCTATCCAGAAAACCTATGCAGTGTGTATTGCACACAGCTGAGCTTCCCTATGCAAAAAGGAGCTACTGGGTTTCCACCCTCCCCCTCAAAAGTAATAAATTTAACTTATTCCACCCCTCCACAAAAAATACAGTATCCAGCCCAAATACAGTATCCCCCCAACTATTACCATCAATACTAGATCCAAAAAATAAAATAAAATCAAAAAATCAAAAAAAATCACACCAAGATGACCTATAAGCCTTTTAGATGTTGTGAATGTTTTATGTCAATGTCAAGGTATATGTCCTATTTTTTATGTCTGATCAATAATTGCAAAATGTAACAAAAATATGCTCCCTGTTACCAGACTATTGCATCCCATTTACATTTTGGTTATCGCCTGTTTGCAGTAAAATGGTAGCAGCAAATTAAATTAAAATATACAATACTGCAGCCATTTTGAATCAATTAATTTTTCACAGTAAGTTTGGATAGGGCAATATATCCTTCATGGCTCTTTATACCCAAGCAAATGGTAATTTATTTAGCTATGAATGCTTTATTACTTAAATTCAATAAGCTTGAAATAGTTGATCCATAAATGGCAGATCAAATCTGCCATCTTTAATTTAAAAATGTAATGTAATAATAAAAGCTTTACTCAAATTGATAGACTAGCCTAGTATGATAAGCTGAAATATCCAGACTCATTAAACTGAAATCCCCAAATTCTAGTTCAAGAGAGACTGCAAAAAATTAGTTAATGGTGAACAGAACACTTTGTTTTACCCTAAAATGATCTCTTTAAGTTATATTAGGCAACTAAGTGGAAATACTATATACTATTAGAAAGCCACCAAGCTGTAAGCAGCAGTTTACTTACTTTACTATTCTCTATCACTGAAGACTCCTGCACAAGGCCTCACCTTTCCATGAGAAACTTGGGACTTTGTGGAGAATTTACATGCTTCTGAAACATCCAAATACTGGTGCTGAAATTCCCCTAGTGACTGGCAAGTCATGTTGCACATTACAGCTGCAGTGTAGGGGCTGCAGGATTCCTGACCCAAGATAATGTAATATATAGACTGGCCCTAAAATTCAAGGTTGTTACAAAAGAAGCAAAATGGTCCCTTCAAAATAGTGAAAAGGTACCCTTACAAATATCCTGCTATTATAGAGAGGGACGGGACTAAAATCCACATGAGCCTAAGTCTCAAGTTACTTAGTTGTTTGGTTCAGTTTAGCTCATGTCCAGGGTCCAAACTTGAATGACCTCCACTTGGTATCTGGGCTTCAGTAGGATGACTGACTTGGTGAGAAATTCTGAAGGCAGTGGCACAGAGGCTGCAGTTGCAGTTATTGTAGCTACCAAATGGCTTGCAGAGTGGCTAGGAGCAGTACTGCTATATTTACTAGAAAGTATCTACTGGTGGCACTGGATCCAGATGTCCCATGAGATGAGGGTGGGGGCAGGGAGCTCCTTAAAGCCTGTTGGCAGGAATTTAAAGGTTTGGACCAGGTTGCCACTCAACCTGCTTCAGGCCAAGCCAAGCCACAGGGGAGGAGGAGTTAGATTTGGGTGACAGTAACCCAAGACTTCTTGGGAGAAAAGAAATGACAAATCTAGAAAGCTTCTTAAAAAGCAGAGACATCACCTTGCCGACAAAGGTCCATATAGTTAAAGCTATGGTTTTCCCAGTAGTGATGTATGGAAGTGAGAGCTGGTCCATAAAGAAGGCTGATTGCTGAAGAATTGATGCTTTTGATTTATGGTGCTGGAGGAGACTCTTGAGAGTCCCATGGACTGCAAGAAGATCAAACCTATCCATTCTGAAGGAAATCAGCCCTGAGCGCTCACTGGAAGGACAGATCCTGGAGCTGAGGCTCTAATACTTTGGCCACCTCATGAGAAGAGAAGACTCCCTAGAAAAGACTCTGATGTTGGGAAAGATTGAGGGCACAAGGAGAAGGGGACGACAGAGGACGAGATGGTTGGACAGTGTTCTTGAAGCTACCAGCATGAGTTTGACCAAACTGCGGGAGGCAGTGGAAGACAGAAGTGCCTGGCGTGCTCTGGTCCATGGGGTCACGAAGAGTCGGACAGGACTAAACAACTAAACAACAACAACAACCCAAGACAGAAACAGTCTGATGGTTGTACAAGGGAAGGTAGCTGCATTCAAGACATGCCGCTTTCCCTCAAATTTCTGCGATGTACGTATCTGCCATCACAATACGTATTGCCTCAAACACAATGCTTTCTGCACAATTAGCTGCCAGTAATTAAGTGTAGATAAATGAAGTTAAGTACATGCCTGTGCAAAGCATTCCCGTGTGATCAGTGGTACCAAGATATACAACGTATTTATGGATAATTGTATGAGGTACACCCTAACCTCAAAATAAATATACAAAACAAAATTTGATCTAATTAGATCTTTTACTGCCTTTTTTTAAAAAAGGAAAGCAAACAAAAGGGTGAGGTCCAGCTCTGAGTAAGCAGGTGCTGGCTCCCCAATGTAGCCTCCCACATGCTGGGAATCTACTTCAGAGGGCCTCCCAACCCTCTGGAGCATGTGAGGGTCTGGGTAAAGGGAAACAAAGGGTAAGTCTTGTTTGCACAAGCAGAAGTGGGACAACACAACTGAATATCACCCTATATATGTTTTCTGGAATCTAGAAGAATAAAAATTAGCCCTTGATCCCAGGTGCAAAGATCCGTCCGGTGCTCCCCCCCCCCCCGGGTTGCCCAGTCTCAGGTACACAGGTTGGCGGAGCCAGCCAACTGCCTCAGCGCCTTGCTGGCTTGGTCGCTCCCAAACTCGCAGGAGTAGCAAAAGAGCCCGTCGCAACACCCTGACCGACGGGTGGGCTCTTCCCCGGACTCAACTCTTGGGCCCCGGACTCTCGGCCTGGTGCCCCTGAGAGCCCGGCACCTGGGTGCCCCACACCCCTAGTGCCTATGGATAAGATGGTCATGCTTGATACATAAACAATGTCTTGGCTAAACCATGCCAATTTTCACTTCACGGTTAACAGGCAGCAAATATTTTGGCAATTTGGGGGCTGAAGTTAAAAGAGTACTGTACCTGCAGGCGTTCCTTTTAGCAGTTGCTCCCCCCCCCCCCAGTTCCCCTCTGGTGGATCATGCATTGGTACTCTGGGGAAATTGTGTGTGTGTGGGGGGGGGGAATTGCAGCCATAATTCCCCCCCATGACATTATTTGATGATAAACACTATTTGAAGATTTTGGCATGTGGCTAGAAAGACACACTTGGTTTAGAGAAAGGATCAACGGAACTGCATAGGTTCAAAAAGGCACCAACAAAGGAACTTTCTCTCAGCCATCCTCTGAAGTGTTTGCAATTAAAAAATAGGCAGTGCTATGAAGAAAAACAGTTATCTTCACTATAGAATGTTTCAGATAAAATTCTGCCTGGTGCATTGTTACTTAGCTTAAAAGCAACAGGGAGCCAAGTTAGATTTTAAAAAGAAAATAGAAAAATAGAAAAGGACGAGTTAAAGCAGAGAAAATAGAGTAGCTTCAAGATTTATATCTACTTTTAACAAAGAACAAAAAATACCATAGTGAGGGATCCTACAATACACATTATGGTACTAGAGAAAAAAGCAAATATATAAGGAAGTGCACTATGGACAGGTTAAAATAAGTCTTCACCCACAGCAACTCAACAAACAGCTGCTCAGAAATGCTACATAGGCATAGAAACTTTCAAAACATGTACATTGAGCCAATCTGGCTTATTTTTTTATCTTAAAAGAAAATCTGACAAACTAGCTCAAAAGTAGATTAAAGACAAATTTAGGGCTTCAGAAAAAAATTACAGTGAGGAATATTTGCAAATGCCTGTTTCACGAAAGAAAATAATGACTGTGATAAGCCACGGAGAGATAAAATCATTCCACACACACCCTTTACATATGCACAAAGGCATAACATTAACATTAAGGCTGCAGTCCTATGCCAATGTACCTGGAAGTAAGACTTACCCAGCAGTAAGAACTGAGTGAGAAGACTTGTATGGGATCACAGTGTAAGTTATAGAAGCAATAGTCTCATGACTAAAAATTAATACTGCAGATTTATTACACAATTTGTTAGCAGTTTTTTATTTCCTGATAGTTTGGTGTGTTTATGGTGCCATATTTAATACTACATATTCAATATAGTTTATACTGACAGCTTAGAGAACCACCATAAAGAGCAAACACACATTTACACTGTGCTTTTAAGAACATTCCATTCTAAAATGCATTTATTTATTTTTCCTCTGTAGTTTCTGGCTTTATCTATCTCTATCTCTATCTATCTATCTATCTATCTATCCACATACATACATATATACAAATAAATACTGCTTATTGTTTTTTGCAGTAGTGGTGGTGGTTGAGTCCCAGTGTGGATGCAGGTAAGGCAGGGGTGAAGTGGGGTCAAAATTCCTTTCCTGTGAAACCAGCTGACAAAGTCATCAGCTGCAGGGACTCTTGGGGCTTTCCACAGTCAAATTTAAATGGGCCAATCAAAACAAACAAAAAGGCGAGGCTTGGGGTGGACCTGGAGGGAGCCTGGTTTCAGTCAGATCTGCCTCCAACTAATTTAAATTGACTGCACTTAAGAGTTAGCAGTGTTTATGCAATTTTTAATCCCCTCCCCCAAACATTCCCTTTTATTATCTCAGTCCAGATATCCTTGTGGAATTTTAACCTTGGCTTGGCATGACATTGAAATTGACAAATCATGATTTGTAATCAGTGAATAAACCAGAGCTAGAAACCTTTTCTTTTTTTTGGCAACTGTTTATTCATATGTCATAGCTGATGCTCCACCTCTGAAGGCCACTGCACCATAGAGATGGTAGTACTTAGTGGAAAACTGAAAGCACACAAGGCAGTCCCACTAGTGGTTACCTAGCAACATCCTCTGTTGTGTCAATTTTTCCTGACCACAACCTGTTCCCACTATAAAAGAGTTTTCAGAACCATTCACAGCAGAACAGTAAAACAATAACAACATAAAAAAACCTACAACATTTATTTCTAAGAAAAATAAATTAAATTTTAAAGTCTCCAGTTTAAAGATAAATTTCACTGTAATGTTCTCCTCAAACTTAGATGTTCTAAGTATTCCTGAGCAAGAAAGCCAAAGCTGTCATTATACGCAGAAATGGAGCCTGACATGTCCTGGTTTTCAGGTATAAAAATGGCATCAGGGAAAGCCCAGATGTATGGCGAGGAATTTTACTTTTTGAAATGTGGCAACCTTAAATGGAGGTCTCCTTGATCTGTGGGTGAGCAGCTATGCTCACGAGTGACTGAAGTAATTGCTTCCAGAAGGAAATTATTTTCACTTAGTGGTCAGACGAGGTGGTTAAGAAAGGCTCTCTCATGCTCTAGACATACTGTGGGTAGCAGTATTCAGCAGCCACACAGACACAAGAGATGAGGCAAGAGCATATTACTAGCCATTCAAACACCTCCCACAGTTCAGCCACATGTGGTCTCATGACAACACATTCTGATCCTGGTTCTGCAGTGCCAGCAATTCCATTATCAGTAGACCAATATTCATAACCACTTTAGCTGGAGAAAAATCCAGTTATGCCAGCTACTGCATTTAGCTGCTGCTGTAAATCTGGATCTGAAATTACACCCTGGTGAGTATCAATATAACAACCAGGATTAATGAAATAATGATAAATCTGAACAGGACCAAGAAGGAAATAAAAAAGGTAAAGGACCCCTGACAATTAAGTCCAGTCGCGAACGACTCTGGGGTTGGGCTCTCATCTTGCTTTACTGGCCGAGGGAGCTGACTTTGTCCGCAGACAGTTTTTCCGGGTCATGTGGCCAGCATGACTAAGCTGCTTCTGGCGAACCAGAGCAGCGCATGGAAATGGTGTTTACCTTCCCGCTGGAGCGGTACCTATTTATCTACTTGCACTTTGACGTGCTTTTGAATTGCTAGGTTGGCAGGAGCAGGGACCAAGCAACGGGAGCTCACCCCATCGCGGGGGTTCAAACCGCCAACCTGCCGACTGGCAAGCCCTAGGCTCAGTGGTTTATACCATAGGGCCACCCGAGATGTTACCATATTAAAGAAAAGAGGAATAAAGAAATATTTTTAAAGCATTAAACATCTGCTAGAAGTTCTTCTACACTGTCCTGTATACGGAAGAGGAAATGCTTGCTGTTATGAGAACCTGTTGCATTTTAGTAGAAGGCATATTGCTGGAGGAGACAGATGACCTTCTAGGAATACTGGGAAACCCTGCGGGAGTGTCTGTGTTGGAATATGTGTTGATCAAGAAGAAGAAGAATGTGACCATGTAGGGATGCTTTAGCAACAACTACAAAAGTTTAAAATCTGGACCTACACTCTCGTCTGTGGTACAAAGCTAGGGATGGGGAGTGAGCAATGCCGTAGAGGAAATAATACTTTCTACAAATGTTTGAAGAACAATCACAGGAGACTACACAAAAAATTGAGATGAAGGGGAGGGAAATGCTCTAGAGACTGATACCTGAAAAGGCAGGCATATGCTCTGCTGTTTACAAAGCCAACAATGGATCAAAGATTGCTACTGAGACTAGCTATAGGCTAGCATTATTGCCTAGGAGTAGCTGGCCAGAGATAATTTGATAGCACACATGGTATCACTTTGCCAGCAGTGAGATTAAATACAGTGATTTGGGATAGTGTCTGGGGATTCAAGTAACATTCAGATGATCCGAAGGGCAGCAAAAAGGAATGGAATGGTCTTGAATAGAAAGGTAAACAATGATTTGCCTATGCATTGGCAACCTAAAACTATGGTTTGTGTCTAAATTATGATTAGTGCAAAACTATGTTTTGGTGTGATGTCTAAACTCATTAACAGCTGTCTGTGCTATCCAACAATATCCCAAGTTATAAATCCAAGGGTTGCTTTACATAGGGAAGTTCTGTTACTTGGACAGACATCACAATAATGTTTAACTGTTTGTTATTAATACATCACATGATTTTCAGTCTTTCAAAATACACAGAAATCATTTCAGCAATCTTACTGTATTTTTCTGGACATTTTGATAGCGCACCTTGCAATGCTGAGAAAGCGGAACAGTGAAACACGCAGATGTATTACATAGGGTCTGTAAAAAACAGGTACTTTATAGAAGACTGGTCTTTGAATTGTATTTGCCTTTTGTAGAGTCACCAGTTTCACAGGGCTTGCCATAAGGAACACAGAATTTATGTCTGTGGAGCACTTTTAATATGGCAACGATTAATATTTAAATTACAACTACATCTAGGAATCTATAATAAATCACACTTCATTAGATCCCTTTCCAGTAAGTTTAAATAAGAGCTCCAAAGATTCGAGTTGCTAGATTTATATTGGCTGTGTAACCTTAATTTTCCCCACTTATGTACTGCTCTCAAGACAGATATCTGGATTTAAGACTCACTACCTTTTCTGTAGTTAATGCTGCTGGCTCATGCAATTACAACAGCCACTCTGTAAATTGTCTTCTTTGCTTATGAATGCCAAATATCACAGCTGTTGTTGTTGAGATACCTTGGGTTTAGAATACATAAGAACAGACAGGTGTGCCAAGGCTAGTGGTGTTCCTGAGGCATCAAGCACCAATCTCAGACCTTTGCTTTTGATGAGCAGGTTGTATTAATACTTTCAGGCTCCTGTGAATTAGCACGGACAATACAGAAAATATCTGCTGTGCTCAGTGCAATGGACAACCGTTTGTATGCATATTCTCCAGGACTAAAAGTATATCAATTTTATTTCTTATGGAGCATTCAACTCCCTATTGAGCTGCTATTCATCCACAGGGTGAGAGAATGGAAAATAATATTCTGTCTTTCCTTTTCTGACCTATGCTGTATCAATACAGCAAACCTTTATTGTGTAGGTTTGTTTAGGGCATCATCCATAATTTGGAATGCTGCTGCAGCCAACATAAATTCCCAACATAAAAAATGCAGCTCAGGTGTAGACCAAGTTTTATGGATCTTTCTTATATCTGATTCTACCCAACTTAATTCACAACAGGGACACAATTCCTTGCTCACTGGATGTGAAAGCTGGTAGGAAAAATAAATGATAAAATCAGTGTTTTAATATAGGAGACATGTGCATGCTGCTCATTGGTGAAAATGACAAACGTCCCTCCCCACCTGTCCAACAAGTCTGAACTAGATTTAGCTGGGGCTCCCATAATTTTCAAAGCACTGTCCCAGGGAAGAAGCTCTCCTTAAATAGTCTCCATTTGGTGGAGGGATGATCACTTGGCTTGGTGGTTTGCTTTTGAAGCTTTTACTACTAGCTAGGTCTATCTGCTTCTTTGTCAGTCATAGGTGGGAAGAGAGCGTTTGATTGGCTGACGTGAAGAAAATCCACAAGTTATTCTATTTTGGTAAATTAGCTATCAGAAAAAACTGCACACCCTCTCTTTACTGCTCCTTTTCCTTTATTTGGCAGACACCTTGTCTGTAGTGACTGCAACAGCTTGTGGAGGATTGCAAATAATCAGATACTTTTTCTTATAAAATGAGAGGGGAGAAACATGAATTCTCAACAGAGCAACAAGCTCAGAAGGTAGAGAGCCTGCTAGACAGCTGAAAGCTAGGCATGTTTATTCAGAAGCATGGCAACTTGTTTCCAGTGACACTTATTTCCAATTAACTACAATCGTATTACGTAGCAGAAAAGAAAGACAAAATACTACTCTCTTGCAGAGCCATCAGGTCACAAGGCAGAGAGGGAGAAGCAAACACTTCCTCCCAACCTTGAAATAGTGGCCTCTGCTTGGGGGCGTAAACACAACAGAGAATATTAGTATGCAGCAGTATGCAATCTATAGTTACAGTAAACTGTCAACTGGATCTGCCACAAGTCACGAATGATCGTCACACCATGTACAATTTCCAAATTACCACGCTATCTGGGATAAACTGGAATAAAAGCTGTAGCTTCACACAAAGGCTGGTGTTGGCACCCAGAATCCTAGAGCAGCTGCCAAGGCTCAAGCATCCAGCCAAGCCTCCTATTCTATGGTCGAAGGCACTGGCCATATGTTGGGTGCTGTGGGCCACTGTGGGAAACTCAGGTGTCCAGGAGCCCACTGGCATAGAAGGGAACCACACTTATAATGGCCAGCTAAACCTGAAGTCAGCGCTGTTTCACACAGCCAGCATACATAGTTACTTAATACGGTTATTGTTAATATGTAGCATCCAATGTAGAACCCTACGGCCACTATGTTAAATTCTCTTTCAAAATGTTTAACATGTAGATATACCCTGCCTCTTGCACTTTCTATGCATATCCTTCCTGACCCAACACTTTCCACTGCACCATACACTTGGGCCCATCTCTGGATGTCTAGATGCCATCTTGGGTCCCACCTAGGTGCTCAACTATCTGCTTTCATATGTAAAATGATGGAGAGTGTGGAAGTAGCACATGACTCCTCTGTTGGGAAGGATTTACAGTGGTACCTCAGGTTAAGAACTTAATTCGTCCCGGAGGTCCGTTCTTAACCTGAAACTGTTCTTAACCTGAGGTACCACTTTAGCTAATGGGACCTCCCACTGCTGCCACGCCGCCACCACTGAGCGATTTCTGTTCTCATCCTGAAGCAAAGTTCTTAACCCGAGGTACTATTTCTGGGTTAGCAGAGTCTGTAACCTGAAGTGTCTGTAACCTGAAGCATCTGTAACCCAAGGTACCACTGTACTTGCTAAAAATAAATAAATAAAAATAATGTATTTTTATACATTTTACAGCCCAAAACAAGCACCTTTGTCTGCTGAGATCAGATTAATTTTCCCCTTAGCAGAGAAAAATAACAATCATGTAAGATGCAGCTAAAGACAGGAGAACAGGAAGGCATAATATGATTTTCTTAACTAAGGGGGGGGGTGGAGAGAAATAAAAGAGTTATCAAAAGAGATATTTGAACACATTACATTCAGATCAGTGCTGAAATTTGTTTCAGTCATAACAATACAAGATTGTTCTCATGAGATAGTTACATAGTCTAAAGCATGGGATCACATTTTTGTAGAGTTCATTTATCCAGATGGCAGTCAAAACATGAAAGATTGATCTTGCTTTGGCCAATGCCAGTACAAAAGTGGTCATTTTCTGGCTAGTTATGCCATTGTGATTTGAGCAAAAATTACATGTTTTTTTGAGTCTGACCAATGCTCATGACCTTTTAGCAGCCTGGGGAGGAATTTTATCCTTGCACTCTCCATAATGGAAAGCAAAACAAAGAATGTAGCAAATTCTCTTTTTTCTGGATTCTGCAGATAGAAATAACACACATTATCATTATAGGAATATTATTGTGACATCTTCCATCTAATGCTGCAGAGGGCATTAACTGAAATCTGAGACAGGTAAAAGCTCTCCTCAGAGTATATTTATTCAGAGCAGTTCGATCAATTTCAAGGCTATGTTGACATTAAAATACTGGTACTCTATGAGGGGATATGTGATCCAAATTTTAGCCAGGGAAGATAGACACCTCTTTGTGTACACATCTATCAGTCTTTTAATAGGACTTTGTTGATGGTGGTGATGATAGAAGCATCTTCTTCATCCAAACACCCAAGTGCTGCATTTACCTCATTACTATTATCAACAATCAACAATCTTCACAATAATTGAACTGGATAAGTTGATTTCTTATAGTTCGATTACATGAATAAGCTTTAGAGACAATGGAGTGCACCTCCGGGGAGGAGTCAAACCACTGTTAGCAGCACTGAAGTGACCTCCCTGGGGCGCAAGCTTGGGCAATGTGTATGGAGGTCCTGGGCTGCCCAGACGACAAGACCCCCCTCTCGGCCTCATTGATGTGGTCCAAAGGAAAGTAGAGCAATACATTTGGCACCAGCTTGGCTGCAAGATCTGCCGGAAAGTGGCATGCAAGGCACCATCCAACCAACTTAGGAACTCCACTCCAGATATGTGTAGGATTTATTCTCGTTATCCTTTATACTTCTCAGCCTTTTCTTCTCCTGAAGATATCACACAAGGCAGCAGAGATTTAGGACTAGAGTTTTCTTTCTCCTGGATGGGCTCAACCTGCCCCTCACTTCTCTCTACAACACTTGCAGAAACCACCTTCTTGACCGTTGGAACCACTATTGGCCTTGTCCATTCAATCCACCACAGCCCGTCTTCTCATGCAGGGGAATTCCCTAACTCACTGAGGATTTGAGACCCATTGGCTACCCTCACCTGGTTTAGCCAGCCAGTCAAAGCTGTTCCCGGGGTGTCAATATATGACATACATATTTCAACTGCAAATATGCTAAGTAGATGTGTATGTTTATTTATTTGTTCTCCACTTTTCCATGTGTTGTTTCCCCACATTATCATTAAATATTTAAAAATCCATAATTTGCAAATTTTAAGGCAAATTCAAACACACACACACTTAAACCACTTAAGAGGCTAATTTGGTAGTAAGTGGTATATAAATATATGAAATAAATATATACAACTTTGTTCATACATCTTTGTACTCAGGTGTTGGTTGTAAACATGCAGCTGAATCTCCTAGTTAGAGAGATAGTGAATAATCTAGGCAAAATTAAACATTATTAAGGCAGATTGATTTCATCAGGAGAAAATAATGTACTTAACTGTCTCATTTGCTTAAAACATGCTTAAAATTGTCAGAATTGTGGCCAGGTCTGCTAGGTTCAACACTGCCGGTTACCCACTGGGCAAAGACTGCTTGTAGCAGTCACCACCTCACTCTGCCTAACCTGATTATTGGTTCTATCGAAATGGTAAGTGCCAACCATCTGTTTTAGTACAGCATACATGGATGAGATCAAGCCAAAAAGCACTGTGCATGCTATGCTGAGTACTACAATTGTTTGAAATGTGAATACTCTTTATTCCCCCCCCACCCACTATTGATCACAAAGGGGGTGGCTTTGTTACTGTTTTTTCTGTAGACTGCAATCTAACTTTTTTTTTTTGCCTTACAGTTTGGATGCTATCAACAAATAATCTTCATTCCTGTGTAGTTACATTTCTAGTGTATGGCATCCTTCTAGAAATAAAAACATCAATAATTAATGCAACACTTCTAATTTACATGGTACTCTACAGCCCTGTTTCTAAGTCTTAGAAGAAGAAGAAGAAGAGTTTGGATTTGATATCCCGCCTTTCACTCCCCTTCAGGAGTCTCAAAGCGGCTAACATTCTCCTTTCCCTTCCTCCCCCACAACAAACACTCTGTGAGGTGAGTGGGGCTGAGAGACTTCAAAGAAGTGTGACTGGCCCAAGGTCACCCAGCAGCTGCATGTGGAGGAGCGGAGACGCGAACCCAGTTCCCCAGATTACGAGACTACCACTCTTAACCACTACACCACACTGGCACCACACTTAGATTTGGTGCCAGAGTACCTGCACCAGAGTTTGACTGACATTAACAGGTTTATAGCTTGATACAAAATAATTTGTTTAGACAGTCCTAACAGGGTCAGTGGGACTTGCTTCCTAATAAGGATGCTAAGGATTTAAGCCTTCTCTAGATTCTAGCTAGATGCTAAAGCAGGAGCAAGTAATAACATAAAGTCAGTGGACTGCATGCAGGTAACAAGACTTGTGTCAGCTGCACTGTTGTTTCCTGTGCTGCTGTGCTGTGTTATTGTCATATATGGCAACTTGCTCTATGACTGAATATCTGATAGAGAGATTGGGTAAGTAGGGGGAAAATCGCACTGCATTCTTGCTAGATCCTGGATGAGGTACTTACTTACAAAGACATTATCTCTCCCAATCTGTTAGAAAACCAAGAAAATCATGACATTTACCCAGTAATTCAATGAGAAATAATTTTCTGAAATGTCCCTATTCCTGACTTTGCTTCCTCAAATCATTTTAATGATTTTTCACCATGTTTACTTGGAAGTATGTTCCACTGAACTCACGAGGCTTGCTTCTGATTAGCTGGGTAGTGCTATGCATGCCTAATTTTTAAACTGCCTCACCTGCTTCAAAAACAACTTTTCTTGGGAGGATATTTAACACTGCACCTATGAAATAAAATGAGCTGCTGAAGAAGTGTCCACCCAGTTTGTAAAAGTGTGTGTTCCTGTGTCTACTACTATTCATTTACCCCTAATGAATGGCAAGCAGAAGCAAGTATTTTGAATTTCTAAATTTAAATTTAAAGGATGGGAAATATTTGACTGGCTATCAGAGTTTTGGGTTCATTAATTTAAAATGTCAGAATTCCAGGGTTGTTGTGTTTTGTTTTGTTTTTTAAATTCTCATTTTGGTAGTTTTCAGCATTTCTGATACATCAAAGTAAATAAAATTAATTGTTTCAAAACATAAGTATTCCTGGGCAGCAGAGATGCAGAGTTATACGAATTCATAGACTTGCAGATGCTAACTGGTATTTTCTGTTCATTCAATAAACAGTTCTAACCTGGTAATATTGCAGTGTCACTGGAGAGCAACATCCCTTTAATCTACAAAAATAAAAACCACACTAAGCACTGCTGAGTTTCTAGCTGGCTTCAAAAGGCATGTCTTAACTGAGTCATCTGTAGGTTACACAAGTAATCATATGGTAGAGGAAGAAAAAAGTGTTCAATATACACACTGAACCTCTGTGTAATAATGCAGTAACATTGCCAGTGCCTAGGGCAAAAGCATTTCAGCACACAAACAGAGAATTAATGATCTGTTTCTGCAATACACTTTTGATTTTAATGTAACTTTTGATCTTTAATCAGAATATCTTTTTGGAAAGAACATCTGGCCTAAAATTTATTCACATACTGTCATGAGCAAGTTTATCCCTTTGAAAACAATGTTCTGGTGCACACACTGAGCTTCCCACTTTTTTCAATGGAGACGAAAGTTCCTTGCAGACAAAGGAGTGCACAAGGCGAACAGCACTCTTCATTTTTGTGAACGAAGGAGGTTTTATGCAGCAGTATATTTCAAATCATTTAATATAATCTTTGGAAATGCAGTTGGCTAGTTTCATCCCTTCCTGTTATTACTACCTTTCCCAGTTGAGAAACTGTTTTCTACAGCAGGCAGGGAGCAGGTCAGGGAGTCTGATTTTCTTTAATAACCATACTGACTGACACCTTCTGATGTATTTATTCCTTCATTTTCTTTAATGGCAAATAACATATTTACAAAACAGCAAAAGCAATTTTGGCAAATTTGTCATGTTTCCTTATTTGAACTCCATAAATACAAAAAACAATCGCAAAAAAACCTCATTTACAATAGTGGCCTTCAAACACAGCAGTCTCGTCCCTTGAATTTCCCCAAAGCAACAGGAGATGACTCAAAATCCTTAGTTTGCTGCATGTTCCTCAGAATGCCTAGTATCTTAAAATATTTTGTTTTAAAGTCTACTGAACATGCTCAGTTCAGTGCCATTTTCCATGCTCAGTTCATTGTCAGTTATTGAGCAGAGATATTTGCACCAGAAACTATCTGCTTTGTTTTGCTTGGATCTCTGCTGTCTATATTCTTTTTGTACTGATCAAGAACTCAGCACATTATTAAGGTAATGAATGTCACTCACCAGATTTCCCATGTTCTGTGAATATGGTGTTTGACTTTGGATTCCCATCTCCTTCTATTTACATTTTTTTTTGTCCAGAGGTGGAGTCATAAGGAAAAGTGTGATCTTAACCCTAATTAGCAGTTTACAATTGCTGTAAAAACTGCAGCTGCCTTTAATAAAACTGCTTTTGTATGAAGTTTTGTAATTGAGGCCTATGCCAGATTGCTTATCATTACTTGGTGAGTAAACAAAGGTACTTCACATTTTCTAGGGCTGAGCACTGGCTGTAATAGGGTTTTTTGTTTTCTTTTTACTGGCAGTAATAGTTAAGTTCTGAACTGCATTTAAGAAACCCAGCTCAAAGAAGGGGAGGCTAAGAGTTATGACTGTCTACCTGCAAAGCCTTGCACAGTTTTGTTTTAAGTAGCTGCCATAAATTTTGTCTTTGGCCATTTAGAATCAGTGAGTAGGTACCAGTAATGAGTGGGTACCATATACACTGTTTTTAGCACTATTGTTGCTGTTTGTTTCAATGTTTTTTCAAGTAAAATTGTAACAGACCATCCAAATCGCTGGTGATGTGTTGCTCTGCTTTGGAGCATGATCATGCTTTCCCCCATCCACACAAATGATGGGATATGTTCAGACTGAGAAAACGTCTGTGGCTATAGCCACATTCCTTTCATTCCCTTGTCCCTCCAGTGAGTAAAAGTCAGTGGTATGAATGAAACTCCTGACAGTACAGTATGAGAATGAAAGCAGGGTGCTGATTGTGTGTGTGTGTGTGTGTGTGTGTGTGTTTTGTATTCAGCACCTGGTATTCTGGAATTGTGTAAGGAAGATTATGTGTCACTATTGAGGTCACTATTTTGGTCTGCCCTATGGAACAAAACACACCATGCAAATTATGGGAAACTTCGCAATACGCCTTTCACACAATGAAAGTATTGTAGAACTATTCTAGATCTTTCCCATGGTATCATTCTGGACCGTCTAGGAGGGTTGGGAGCTGGGGGCACTGTTATGCAGCAGTTCAGCTCCTTCCTCCTGGGCTGTGTCCAGAAAGTGCTTTTAAGGGTGAGTGTTCGGATTCCTAAGTACTTACTTGTGGGGTGCCTCAGGGCTATGTTCTCCCATGATTTTAGCATCTATATGAAGCTGCTGGGAGTGTATATTTACCGATTCAGAACAGCTGATTTTTCAAAAAGTATGGCTTCAAAGGTCTGAGATTGCAAACAATTATTTTGAAAAAGTATTTTTAAAATCCAATTCTGTATTAATAGACAGGATACTATTTTTGGTGGGGAGGGTTAGTTAGAAATCTCTTTAGGCTAGGTTATTATCTTCCCTTACTTCCCCCCCCCCTGAAATCTGAGACAAGATACAGAAACCAAATAGCTTTTTCAGTTATATACAGGGATTGCTACGCACATACTAGGGCTGCATTAAATGTTCACTTATTTCAACTTTGGGGTATTATTTTGTGGGAGAGCAGAAATATTTTCTGAAAGAATATCCTTACATCAGGGCCAAGGAATTTTTTTTTCCATCCAGAGGGCTGGGTGCAACCTTCCAGGGGGTTCATGTAAATGGTCGCTGTGGCAAAAGCAAAGGATGCAATTCCCAAATTCAGAGGTTTCAACACACTTTTCCATTCGGGCAAACTGAGGTATAATCTCAGTTCAAGGAAAGCCAGGCAGAAGCACACAAAGAGGACACAGGGAGAAGTCAGTGGAAGGAGTGACCTGGGTAGAAGTGGTTTGAACTGGACAGAATCCATAGTCCAGACAGAGAGGCGTAAAGGGCCACATTCAGCCCTCAGGCTTGAGGGCTTACACTTGACAGCCTTGTTATTTCTCAAAGCTGTTTGTTTTCCCCTGTCTGCTACTGCTTTCAAAACAGTTTATTTCCTCTTAAGGCTTCTTTCCCCTTCCTTTACATTATATAAACGTTCTCAACCAGTAAATTGCACTACATAAGCTGTTACTGTCCTCTTCATTGATTCTTCCTACAATGTCAAGCTGAGATGTCATAACCAACATGTCAGATTTATTTTGTAGCATGGACTAAATTCTCCCAGCAATCACATTTCAATAAAATTTTCCAAAATGAAAAGCTCTTACTATTATGTGGCACTTCAGTGTCTGAAGTCAGGTTATTCTCAGGTAATCTCAACTTCCCCTTCTTAATGACATTGTCTGCACAGGTTCTATTTTACCTTGTGAATTGTTTCACCTTTTCATATTACTTCTGTTCATCTTGCTTTGAATTCCACCAACAGATTTTCTGGCTGTGAGCCCTCTCATTAAGACTTTAAGAAAATGGGAGCATCTAGCTCCAGCCTGAAGCAAGTTTACACAGGGCGCTGCTGGTTTGTGGAGGCATCCTGGTCTGTGTGAAACAAGCTAATACTCAACTTTATTTTCTTTTAATAGTTTCTTTGCTGACGCCACCTGCTGTTTGCTTTCCTTCATCTGCTGCTGATGGCCTTTTACATTAGGAATGGCCTGTGTGACTTCAGGCAAGGGTGAGAAAACAGGTAATAAGCACGCAATTATGGGGCAGCACTAGTTGCAGCAAATATGGACTATTGTTTGGCTCTGCAAGTGGGAATGGCTCCCTGCAGCCAAGGGGCTTTAAAGTTCACAGTTGCTTCATTCAGAGAATGCTCAGTTTAAAACCAAATTATTCTTGGGATTTGGCACATCAAATGCTTGAGTGGTAGGTATAGGGGTGAAAGGTAATGTAATAGTAAAGAAGAATGTGTGTATCTACACACATATATTAAAATGGCCATGCCCCTCTGCTGGTATATGCCATCAGCAGTTGACATAAATACAGCGAAAGCACACTTTCAGACATTTCAAAAAAAGAGGAACTAGGAAGGGAAGTTAATAATAACAACCAGCTGTAGCAATTTCTGAGCCATAAACTCATATAAATTTGTTGTTTCATAATTGTGGTATAAGATCTCTCTCTCTCTCTCTCTCTCTCTCTCTCTCTCACACACACACACACACACACAGTGTGTGTGTGTGTGTGTGTGTGTGTGTGTGTGTGTACATGTGAGAATGATGCAAAGACAGACAGTTGTGGTGTTATATTCTAGAACATTGTGTTTTTGTTACAGGCATATATTAGTTTTCCGTTGGCTGGGTCCCTAAGCTCCGTGTTACATGCTAATAAGTTAACATAGCTGAGGTCAGAAAAGACCAAGAGACAAAAGCAGGTAATGAAGACTGTGCCAGCAATAACCAATCAGTGGATAGGAGCTGAATTGGTTGTGCTAGTTGAGCTCAAAGGGATGTAGAACAGCGTAATTAGTATTCAAATATTGCAGCAAAGAAAAGAAACAAAGGGATTGTGGTTGACAAAGTATGGCTAGCATCCTGAAGTGTACGCAAGCTGTCTAGATTAATAAAGTGTGTTCACCTGCTCATAAGCATTAGTGCTCCTCTGTTGCAGTCATCTGCATTCATGTGGATAAAACTGGAAGGAAGAAGTCAAAAACTAGGTGACTTTGAATACAACAAATAAAATGGGAACAAATGAAAGCCAGGAGAAAATGCAGTCAGCAATGCAAAATTGAGACAGTGGCAATAAAAAGGAGCCCAGTAAAGAGAATTTAGCAGCCGCTTAACAGTACATAGGTAACAGGTAGCCAGCCATCTTATAGTTGCCAAATAACAATTAGCTTATGCTTTCCAAGGAGGGTAAATTGTATTGACATCAAAGTGCCTTAATATAGCTGCCAAGTTCAGGGAGAGGGGGAAGATGAAAGGAAAGAGAGAGAAGCCAATTTTAGAAAGGAATTACTTATCCAGAATAAAAAGTACATCTGACAACTCAAGGAGAGGAATGGGGGGCGAGGGAGGAGAGATGAAAATTTTGTCATGGCTGTGAAAGGAAATAAATTCACTATGCAGAGTAAAAACACAGAAGTCTCATAACTTTGCATGAAAAAGTTCTATTGGAATTGAAAATAAGTTCAATCTTCCTTGTGATGCAGCATACATTAAAAAGAACCATTCCAGTAGGAATGCATGTTGGCAGGTGTATATTTACCCTCCCAAAACTTTCATGAGCTCCACTGAAACTCATTTAGCTCCTCTAGGAATTCCTAGGATATTTTGTCTATAGATGAATTTCCAAAATGCCTCTGGGAATACAACATAATTACCATTTCTTTTTGTTATTGGCATCTGTGTGTCTCAGAAGACAATGGAGGAGTGTGCCTTTGGGGGTGAAGTCAAGCCACTGGAGACTTACAGTGCCTGCTGTGGCTGTAGAGACTGATAAGGGAGAGACATGTTTTGCTACAGTTGAGATGAAGGCATCCAGTTGTGCTGCTGGATGAAGGCACCATGGCTTTTCTTCTCTCTGTGCTCCTCCCAGCAGTCATTACTCCTCTGGTCACTATTGTGAATACAGTACATGACTTAATTGTTTGTCTCCAAGCACTGTGGTGGTCCACAAGGGATTCCCACATGGCAGCCTTCAGGTTTCATTTGCAGACATATTTGTAACACAGAGTTGGTGTGTCAACGGCCTGGTGTCTGAAGCCAGCTCCCCGTAAAGCACATCCTTGGGAATCCTGCCATCTTCCAATATGTGGACATGGCCAAGCCAGTGTAGACGTCACTGAGACAGGAGTGTGAACATGCTGAGAATGTGGGAATGAAAGAGCACTTCCCATAGATCATGGGATCCTTCTAGACTGCCTGGCCATGATGGACTTGGCGATATTGTGCTACTGTGGTTCTAGTCTTTCCTACAGGGTCAGCTCCGGAGGAGGCTATCTTATTAGCTATGCTTCCTATTGTCACCTATGGTTTTTAAAATTTACATAAAAATAATGAAGGAAATTGGATATATGTTTTGAATGTCATCATCAGCATACTAATGGCTCTATGTCTTCTTCCCATTTGTACTGGTTTTTGGTGTTGGTAATGGGCTAGATATGTGTGAACAAAATGCAGCTTAATCCAGGCAGGACAGGAGTGCACCTCGTCTGCAGAAATGTTGATACTGGAATATAAATCCAATCTGTTTTGGATGGGGTTGCACTCCTCAGGTAGATAACCTTGGTGCATTTCTTCACCTGGCCTTGAGCCTTGATGCTCAGGGGTGAGACATGTCCAGAAGTGCTTCTGTCTAATTTGTGCGCTTGCTATGCTTGTTCCTAAAGAAGTTGGATCTGACCATGGTGCCGTATACCTTAGTTATAGTCTTATTGTACTACTGCAATGACCTCTGCATGGGGCTTCCTTTAAAAAGTATCTAGAAACTTCAGTGCACTGCACAATGCAGCAGCCAAAATGTTAACAGCAGCTGGTTATGGGATCATATTCCTCCCTTGTAAATGTAGGTGGAACAGAAAGGAGATAAGCTCCAGTGCTTGTTGTAATATAGTGTTTATTCTGCTCAGCTGTTTTTCAAACCTCCTTATCAATTGATGTGAATGGGGTTTAATTTAATGAATCTGGAAAAGCCTTAATCTTCATTACTAAAATTGGAAACTATTTTTAAAAAACCTATAAAATTAAATAAAAATTCTTAATGCATCTCTGAAATAAATTCCAATCTCTGGGTAATATTTCTCTCCTCCTGCTCTCCTCTCTGGTAAAAAACAGCTTCTTGTTTGTTTCTGTACACTAACTGCAATTCAAAGTACTGGCTATGGTTTTTATGGTCCCTATTGGATTAAAAATAAGGTAGAATCTCCCTGATTGTTAAAATCTTGTGCAAAGTCTCTTGCATATCCCATCAGTTTCAGAGTTGTGTTGGCTGGGGACAAAAGAGGCATGTCTGCCTCTTTCCCAAGACAGGCTTACCTAGCTCTCACACTTACGGTTTTTCCCTGTGGTATGGAAAACCTATTTAGAGAGACTTCTGTACTCTTAAGATTATTTGTGTTATGCACTTGATACAATTTTTGTGAATAATTTGTCTGCTTTTGGTCATTTTAACATGTTTATTGGGTTTTATTTTTGTACTTGATAATTGTCTATTTTTCATTATCTTAATTCTCCTTGGAATGATTCATGGAAGGGCAGGATAGATAAATACTTACAATAAGTAAATATATTAGCAAATGATGGTTTGGGAACCTAGGCTTTTAGAAACATTTAGTTCCTCTCTTTTTCTCAGAGAAATAGCTGGCTTTTTCAGGATTTTGTGCCAGGCTATAGGAGCCATATTATAGAAAAAATCTACCACAGGAAAACAGTGTAATTACAACTCCATGTTCTCCAAAAATAAGCACTAGAATATAGCCTAAAGTTCACATTGTTTTTTGTCATATACTGAAAAGGGGTGGTGGGAACACACAAACAAACTAAAATAATGGTAGGAAGATTGTGTACGCTTTTATATTTAATAATTAATAAAAATACTTTTAACTTTAAAGGGAATTTTAAAATCTCAAGATCAATAATTCTCCATCTTAAATACTATGTTGGTCAGCATCTTTATAATGTTAGTTTAGGAAAAAAGAATGATGAATCAAATAGAAAACAACACCTTTCTAAGTATCCAGGAGTGACTAGTGTGATTACAGTGACCTTGATTCAGAAATGCATAAACAAGCAAAAGTGTCTAAGGAAAGTAAGGAAATGTATTAGCTTTACATTTTCTTGTTTCTATTTGTGGTGCATATGAAGAAATAATGTATAGATTAGGCTTGTCTCTCTAGGACATGTTTGCTGCCTAAACTGTTCAAGGCTATCAGCAAATAATAGAAGTGTATAGTTGTGATTGGTAACCTGGGAAATGAGATAATTGTCCTAATTCGGTGATTCCTTTTCAGTCCAGGAGTTCCACTGCATACACACAGTTTCCCCTTCTATAAGAGGCTCACCATTCACTTAGTTAATTCAGGAGGCAGTTTTTAAAGTGCAAACATATTTATGTATATTGAAGCCATTGGGTAGAGCTTTACCATGTGCAAGATTACATCAAGGCAAATGAAACTGTGGAACAACGCACAGTGCCAAGATGTGTTATACCATGTATAAACTGTAAGGAGCAGGAAAAAGGAATACATTTTTCAATCTTACAACTTGCTTAAGTGGGATATCTTTGAAGTCTTCCCACAGTCCAAATAAGATTTAACAATAGAGCTCAGCCAAGAAGGTGTGCTGTCAAGACGTCTATTGTATCAAATGTTATGTGCATGCATGTTTATTAATATAATTTGCATTTTTAGTCAATAAAATCATTGCAAATTCACTTGAACAATATAAATTTAGCAGAACAAAATATGCAAGTACAAATAGCAATATTTTAAATGAATCTGAAAAGAAGCTTTTCCTTCTTCCAGAGCAGTTTCCATGATACCCAGAATATCTGACAGTTCCCAGGGACAGGAAACAATGTATAATGGGCATTTGTCAACTGTGTATAATTAATATGCATACACACTCCTTACTCCCATGTCTGACTAAAAATATAAAGCAGGCACCCAGAAACATAGGGACCTTAAGCAATAGGTTTTAAAGAAGGTAAAGGATACCATCAAATCCAACATTTTTCAAAACACAAAAGGAATTTCATGGGAAGCGGGAACGATGTCAAATAAGTAAAACAATATATTTCTGAAATATATTTTTAGCCAACCCTTCATCTAAAGTTTTCAGGGTGCACTACACTTCATTTGAAACCACAAACACAAAAACAAATAAATAGCAGAGAAAGCAACAATACAAATCACTCAAAAAACCCTAGAGAACCTACAGTGGCACTCATTACAATGGCAGGCTAAAATCCCGCAAACACTTGGGCAAACAAGTACACTTTTACCTGATGCCGAAATGCTAAGTGTTGACACCAATCATGCTTCCAGGAGGAAGAAGTTGAAGCTGGGCGCTGAGCCAAGGTAGGTAAGTGGGACAGAGGAAGTATACCTCTGAATACCAGATATTACAGAAAAATGGAAGGGGAGACTGAATATGGATTTGCTTCTAGGCTTGTTTCTACTTGCTATGATATGCCTTTGGTTAACCTCAACTACCACTGCTTACTCTGATTGGCAATGATTCTCTAGTGCAGGCATATGCAAACTCAGCCCTCCAGATGTTTTGGGACTACAACTCCCATCTTCCCTAGCTAACAGGACCAGTGGTCAGGGATGATGGGAATTGTAGTCCCAAAAGATTTGTAGGGCCGAGTTTGCCTATGCCTGCTCTAGTGTCTTCAGCAGAGGGCTTCTCCAGTCCAGCCTCCAAAGATTCCTCCCTGTCCTGGAGAAGCAAGGGACTGAAGAAGGTGCTTTATAAATGCAAAGCATGTGCTCTACTACTGAGCTATTGCTTTCTTACTGAAGTGCCATATCTTTCCCCCCTGAATATTCCTACTTGTAGGGTATAAAATGTACTCTGAATTTTAATAAAGGCGCATTATCTAGTAGCAGTACATCAAAAGGACTGCCATTGGAAAGAATTTAAATGCCCATTTAGTGTCCAGCACAGAGCCCAGCATCTATTCACAAATCATCACAACTGTAATATATAGTGTCTTACTTTCTTTGAAATCTGTGCATATTTATTTATATTTAGCTTTTAGATGTTATCCACAAAAGCTGCAATTCGGCCCCTTATTATTTATACATAACTCTCATTGATGTTTACTGGTGCATATGGCAATATTGCTTGGGAGAAAAACCGTGCATTTTATATGTGCGTGTGTGGATGGCAAGTTAATGTTCTTATACAGTTTAAAGAATGTGAAAGTTACTAAGTTTAATGCAATCTGTGAAAAGACCTCCCCAAAGATAAAACCTTACGGTAGTCATTGCAGTAACACCTGTTTGCTCCTTTATGCTTGGCATCATGACATATTTGGGATGTGCTATACTGGCAAGTTAATGCCAACAAGATACCCCTGAATTCTCTGTTTCAAAATTAAAACCATTATGTGTTGTAAATATCATGTTACATTGCTAATGTCTTCCTGGTTTTACTTTTTTCTTTTATAGGAAAGAGAAAAATAAATAATGGATACACCAGTGGAACTGGAGTCAGGGAGAATTTGGGATCGAGTTCCAGAAATGGCCTAGGGAAAGCTTCTGCGTTTCACACTCAATCCCCAAAGTTGTAAATTGGTATTCATATTGTGAGTCTATGTCTATAAACATAGAAAAACAAGGTTCCAATTAGTGACAATTATGGGATGAGTGAATAAGAGATAGAAGGAACTGGACAGCAGATTTTGTGAACATAGAAGTGGAGTAAGGAGACATTAGAGGGAGTGCAGACAACATAGCATGTTGAATGCAGAGACTAGGAAGGGTGTAAAAGGAGGATGTCTAATCAGCAGTGCATTTTTTCTGGGGGTATGCAGGGGTACGCATACCTGCTAAACGTTTTGTGAATATTTGTACTTTTGTCCATTCACTGTATTTACTCTTCCTGATTTGAACTATAAAATGGTGATTTTCTTGAGCCAAAATGAGAGTACCCCTAAACATTTTTTAAAGGAAAAAAAGCACTGTTAATCGGCTGAGAGATGGTCAGAGCTACTATGACTTGTTTTAAATCCATACACAGAAAAGGTGCTAGGTTAATCACTTTAAGAAAAAAAATTAAGTGCCATGTAGTGTGTGGTAACTGGAATAAAAATACACTTACAACCTGATTATTTTTATCTGATACTAGTAGGAAAAGATAAAGCTGTTATAAAAGGCAGGAGTCCTTAGAGCAACTAAATGGGCAGCTCCAGTAAATGCCCTTAGTTACTGTGGCATGAAATGAGGAGCTAAAGCTAATCCCTTTAGCTAGCCCACATGAAAATGAGATCTAAAGCTAATCCTTTTACAGTAGCTATACCACATGAAATGGGGTATTTAAGCAAATCCCCTTAATCATCATGGCAAGAATCAGGGAGCTAAAGTCAATCCCCTTAGCTATCCCACATGAAACAGAGAGCCAAAGCAATCTCTTTAGCTATGCTGGAGTTAAAAAGGAACTCCATCAACCCCTTTAAGCCATTATGACTTGAAATGGATACTAACATATTTCTCAACACAGAAAGGCCCTAATTAGGGAAACAAAAATATCTACTGGTGCAGTGAACTGGTTGCATTCATATATTACGTGCTAATTGCTCTTTTTAATTACTTATATTGACAATATAAATCACAGGAAGAGCATATTGTACAAAACTAAACGTGATTTTAAAAGGTGCAGACCACAAGATGAAGAAAGTTGGGAACTATGGATAAAGACAGCCTGTGCTTTTATCCATAATTACCTGACAGGTCATTGACCATTAATGCAACCTGAAATATACTCAGAGTCGCAAAGTGATTTCATGCTCTTTATTCAGCTCATAGTGGTGAGGAGGAATGAATGAATGTCCCCTCAAGTATCTGCTTTATATACGTTGTTTACACAATGGGCTGCACATGATTGGCTAATTCCGGAATTCTACTGTAAGCCTATCAGGTTGTGGATTCACTTCTATCTGGAGCCTGATTGGGTGGTTCCTGCCAACCAATCATATTGCTGCATTGTTCTAGGACCAATCAGACTGCTGCATTCTGAATCCTATTGTTCTAGGACAAATCAGACTGCTGCATTTTGGATCCTATTGTTCTAGGACCAATCAGACTGCTGCAGTTTGGATCCTATTCAACTCAGTACATAACACAACCCTTGAAAAGTTTCCCATATAGGGCATTGTGTTCATGAAGTGCTAGGTCTTAATATTGTGCAACTCGAAGGACATTAGTGCAGGGACCTTGAAATACATTGGGCAAAAACCTTCAACACCAGACTAGGCATTTCCAAGAACCAGCCAGTCACTCTTCAGCTGATAGATGCCACCTCAGTTGTGAAAGGCTCCAGAATAGCTGCATATTTTTTCTGCAGGACGGGTGGTGGTGGTGGTGGTTGAGGATATATTTGCCTCAGACCACAATGACACTGCACTGTGGAGGAATTTAAATAACCAGTATAAAGTCAACATTGGATCATTGAGCTATATGTGAGGTTGCTAAGTAGAATCAGTACTGGACCAGATGTTTAGTGCGCCAAGTGCATCTTAATCCTGTTTTTATCATCGTCACCATCATTTTATTATTATGTTGCTTTCCCATAGTTAAAACCATGCTCTAGGCAACTTACAACATAATCACAAACATAACAAAATTCATAAATGAAAAGGTAAAGGGACCCCTGACCATTAGGTCCAGTCGCAGAACACATCAAAAAGTACACAACCAAATTGAAATAATATCCACATAAGTCATAAGATCGAAAACTAAAGATACAAAAATTAATAGCATTAACAACAACAACAACAAACCAAACAAAGCACCCTAAACAATACCACAGCCCAAGAGTGTGTTTAGCAGCTTTTGTAGCTAGAGTCAGTCAGGGCCCCACCCGCCCAGACCAGGTGGGGAAAAGGCTTGTAAAGCTGGGAGCAGGTCTTCAGGACTCACAACCAAGATCTTGCTGGTGTGACTCGCAGGCCATTTGAAGGAACTTGTTCTTGTACGTGTCAGCCAGTATCTGCTCCATGGCCACGTCTGCTTCTTGTACTCCAGAAATGTCAAAGAATCGTAGAGTTGGAAGGGATTCCAAAGGTTATCTAGTCAAACCCCCTACAATGCAGGAATCTCAACTAAAGCATCCAAGACAGATGACCATCCAACCTTTGCTTATAAACCTCCAGTGAAGGAGAGTCCACAACCTCCTGAGGGAGTCCATTCCATAGTGACATAGCTCGTACTGTAAGACAGTTCTTCCCAATGTTTAAGTTTAGTCAGAATCTCCTTTATTGTAACTTGAAGCCATTGGTTTGACTCCTACCCTCCAGAGCAGGAGAAAACAAGCTTGCCCCATCTTCCATGTGACAGCCCTTCAGATGGCTATCATATCTCCTCTCAGTCTTCTCTTATCCAGGCTAAACATACCTAGCTCCTTCAACCATTCCTCCTAAGGCTTGGTTTCCAGACCCCTGATCATCCTGATATCCTCCTCTGCACAAGTTCCAGCTTGTCAATTTATCCTTCTTAAATTGTGGCACCCAGAACTGGACACAGTATTTCAGGTGTGGTCTCAGCAAGGCAGAATACACTCTGTACACTATACTTCTGTTTATGTAGCCTGGAATAGCATTAGTTTTTTTGCTGCTGCATCACACTGTTAACTCATGTTAACCTTGTGGTTCACTAAGGCCGCTAGATACTTTTCACATGTTCTACTAGTAATCCAGGTCCCCCCGCCTCTTATATTTGTACATCTGTTTCTTCCTGCCTATGTGCAGAACCTTACATTTGTCACTACTGAAATTCATTTTGTTAGTTTTGGCCCAGTTCTCTAATTTGTTAAGGTCAGTTTGAATCCCAATTCTGTCTTCTGCAACATTAATTACCCCTCCCAGTTTGGTATCACCTGATTTTTTTTGTCTGTCATTCAGCTTCATTCTCTGCATATTTTGCTACCATCCTGCTGACTCCATCCACCAAAGTCTCTCTTAGGTCGCTTTCCAACTCAGTTCCTAATTTTCTACACAGAAACTGTTAGATGGCCTCCATACTAGTGCTGCAGATGTCATCAGATGAGTAGGACAAGGTTTGTGTCTCTAGTGTTCAGATGTAAGCCAGTGCCTGCAGCAACACGCACACTAGGTTTTTGTTGATGTCTAAGTCTGTAGGCTGTTCAGGGAAGCCAGCAGTTCCCTCAGCTTGTTGCTTGCTCCCTCCCTTCCCCCGCTGCCTGCCTTCCTCCCTCTTCCCCTTCCCACAGTACATCTCCTTTGACCTCCTTAGGCGGGTCCCTTCTACAAGCAGTGCCCTTCAGTTTGGCAACAAGCATTGATTTGGTTTTGCTTTCTTTAAAATTCTTAAATGTGCCCTTCAGTTTCAGAACAAAAAAAGCTTTCAGGGCAGCTCACATGAAACAAATAATAATAATAATAAAATTTTAAAATTTTAATTTAAAGTGGGGAAATAACCTTTACAGATTATAAAATAATAATAAAATAGTTTTAATTTTAAAATATGGAGCAACTCAGAAACTGCAGGAGCTAGCATACTTGAATCCAGGCTGCCCAGTTCTTAATGTAACAACATCATTTTAAATTTTTTTTAGAGTGATAGCTTCAGTTACACAGGCATTCTCTGCTACCAAGTAGACAGGCTGCTATTCCCAAATATGAGAGAGAATTCCAGAACAACCCTTGATGTACTAAATGGTATTGGACAATCTTTTATATCTCAGCCTCACCAATTTGTAGAATAGAAATCTTAACAACTTACCTATGTGGATGGATGAGATAATGAAAATCACAAAAATGTGTATTTATTTTTTGAGCCTGATACTCAATGGTTCTTCAGATTTGATACATACAATGCTGTAGTGCTACATTTAACATGGTTAGACACCTAGCTATAAGGTGCCAACTTTGTGGCTAAAAGGAGAGTTTGAGTCTTTTTGAAAATAACAGAATCTCTAATGACAAGTGCTTGAACTTTGCTCCTGCATCATGATACCTGTGGAAACATGGCAATTTCTGAAACATTTCTGAGGCAGTGACATGCAACTACTCCACTTGATAGCTTCAGGGGGTGATTCTGAATAAATTTCCCTAGCCTCTAAAATATATCAGAACATATACAGATATGAATTTCCATAAACATTGACTTTATGTTCAGTATACAAGCTCATTATGTTCAGTATACAAGCTCATCTCCCATCTTTCCCAAGATTTCAAATATTCAAGTAGACTTCTTATTCTTTACACTTACTGCCCTTTTCACTATTGTCTGTGTGACTATAAACATACAAACTGTACTTTTCCAACTTGGTGAATATTCAAACCAAATCAATTTCTTTTAGCAAACAGAATAGAATTGAGCATGCACACACACGCACACACACACACACACAGAGAGAGAGAGAGAAGTGATGTCAGAAATGCAATCTGGAGAACAAGAGTGGGCTGTAATGTGTATAGTGTTTTTGGACACTGAAGGCTACTTGCAATTGAAGCTGCAGGTTCCTACCACAATTTTAAACAAAGGACATACTGCCTTTCAATAAGGGACTGACCTACATCAGAGGCAAGGAACCTCTGGTCTGCAAGCCAATCTTGGCTCATCAGGGTCAAGGCGGAGTGTGTCCTCCCAGATTGGCCATTGTCTAAGGATGAAATCAGACATGCCACTAAATATGTCCCAAGAGGCCACATGGGGAGGTGTGACTTTCATCAGCAATGCAAAGTGTCCACACTTGCTGTTTCAGAAGGAAAATTCATGGTGTGGTTTCTAATGATACATCTAGTTTGGTCCTAAAAGCCTTGAGAAGCTACAAACATGTATCACTTCAAGACAAATGATCATAGCTAACAAACTGCTAGTGGACTGACAGCTATGAGATAAACAATGCAAAGAGAGGGAGAGGGGAAGAGCGAAAGTGAGATGCCAGAGAGCCTAACAATGTTATCAAATTGGTTTAGGAAAAGACAAATATTCTATGGTTGAGTGAAAAATATACTGTGAATCATTATAAAAGGAAAGAGCAAAATCATACATCAACTGGAAGCAAGCAACAAACCACAAAATCCTCAAAATCAACAATATGAAACAACTGTTTGCATAGTATGATAAATTTAGCACCATAGACTCCTTCCTCAAACTTTTAAATAAATAAATAAATCAGCAACTGGAAATTATTCAGAGCCTTAGAAGAGCTCACCAGGGAGTGGAATACATTTATGAAGTGAAGTAATTACATCTGTGGTTAATTTCATCGGAAGCTTGCTAACTGACAAGGAAGCATTTACAATAGCTGCAATCACAGGGATTACATGTTCTCGGGAGTCCTGCTGTAGCCAAACAATCTGGGGTGCTCACACTAGACTGTTCAATGCAGATGTGTTCTAATTAGCTATTTTAGACACAGGTGTGCATATAAAAAAGTAAGCACAGCTTACTGATGTGCTGGAAGATTCACAAGAAATTCCCCATTTAACACTGGCACCATGTGGATTCCAGGCTCAGCATTCATTTAAAAATAAAATAATGTTTGTTGCCCTTCCCCTTGTAAAGATAGCCTTGAAAATGTAAACTTCAAATTGATCCACTGAGATGAAAGCTATGGATTTTGAAGCTACAGTGAGAGTAAATTTAGCACCTCTAGTCCTAGCAAGGCTCTTATTCCTTTAATATTAACCTGCTAAATCTTCAGTGGAGGCCCTCTTGAATGCCCCAACTTCCTCGGGTGAATGTGTGGTTGTAGGGAACTTAGGGAGTGGGCTCTTTCAGTGGCTGCACCTAAGCTCTGGAACTTCTAAGGGACGTCTGTTTTGCCTCTTTGCTAATGTCCCTTTACTGGGCAGTAAAACAAACAAAAAACCCGACATTCCTTTTTCCTATAAACAGCATTGATTCCTAAGTATTTTTATTTGATGAGACTTAAAAAAGAAAAGAAAAGCTCTGCTGAAATTGGTTTTAGTTGGATGATTTCTTTTTTATTCCACTGGTCTTAGCTTTGTGTTTCAAGTTTTTTACTTTTGCATGTTTATGTTGCTTTGACATCTTGTTTCGTGTTAGCTACCTTGAACTAGTCTTATTTATCTTATGTACTTATTCAAACAATAAATAAAAGCTGCGTAACAGCCAAAATTCAGTTTTCTCCACCACTGCATTTCCATTCAGGGAAAAGTGTTGCCTGATATATTTCAACCTGTTTAAGACAGAGCAATCCTGCTGAAGAAAGAAAGAAAAGTAGCAACTTTAGGTGGACTTACTCCTGCCCTTGCCCTGCTCACCACTCTGCTCTTGACCATGGTCGGTAAGGGAGGTAGCAGACAATAGGACTGGAAAGGAAACACTTGAAAGAAACAGTGGAACCTTATAGTAGAGACAGCTGCCAGTCAGCATAGTCATTACTGAGGTAAGGTAGGCCACTGGATAAAGCCAGTATAAGGCAGCTTCCTATGTCCATTTATCTCTCACATAAGGATATTTGAAAGTTATGCACCTGGCCCTAAAATACATACCTGGACTTGTTTTGATTAATGTCTGCAAGAGACTTTGTGGATATTTAAGTTATAATTTAGAAAAATCTGAATAATTACTCAAAAGGAAACAGCTTATAAGAAGTAAATAAGGAAGCCAGATACAGGATAAATGAAGTCTTTTATTTGGTTGTTTGCATTGTTGTATGTTATGCTTATTGTATGTTATGTTCATGTTTAATGAGGGTGGATTTCTGTATTGGGGTGGGGGTTTATGTTATGTTGTAAATAAAATTTCCAGTAAAATTTAAAATAAAAAATTGAAAGTTATGCACCTGGATCACGAAATGTCAGCTCTAGGCAAGAATCACATGAATGGAGTTTCAATACACCAGAAACCACTGTTGTACAGAATTGCCAGGTACTACCTATTTCTTCCAAATCCATAACTGACTACACCTTATTTCTGATTAACACAGTTCTAAAGATAAACCTGATCTTTCAAAGATGTTTCTCTCTCTCTCTCTCTCTCTCTCTCTCTCTCTCTCTCTCATGGCAGTATTACCACACAGCCTACATGCACATTTCATGAAATGGCCTTCTGATTTTAGTAGGTCCAATGACAAATAACTTTCTGGGCCCTTTTCTGAAATATTGAACCCAAATCCTGCTTATGGAATTATAAAAGTGAGAAAATAACAAATGATTGAAACATGTGGAAAATTGTCACTTCAAACACTGAGCGAAGCAGCACACCAGAAAGCAAACCCTTCATAGCTCTTTCCAGCAGTTCTGAAGCTTTATCTAATACACATGATATCCCCCCCGCCACCTATTCAGAAGTGATAAATGATAGTAGAGAGTACAGATTTGGGGGAGAAAGAAGACACTGAAGGTAGTGAGGAAGCTGTTGGAATAGTGGGGAGTAGCAAGCAGTTTGGTCTTCTCTAATTTGCTTGTTTCCCCCCAGAATCAAGTATAGGAATTTGTTACTGGGTTTTCATTAATTTCTTCAGATGGGTGGAAATAATAAAACAGAATGTCTGGATATCATTTTAAAGAGCAGTCATGTAATCAACATAAGGGTCTAAACTTGACAGTTTTCAGAAATGTATGCCTCTAATTTTTACAAAGAAACAGAATATGCCGAATTCAGTTATTCATATAGACCTATTCAGAGCTATTTTTAATGCTCACTTCTAGGGTTTAATTAATATTAGTGAATTTCAAACAAGACTAACAGACTCTCTTAGCAGCTGAAATAACCTCTATCACTCACTGGTGGTATTAAACTTTCACCTCTCAAAAAAAAAATAATGCCGATAATTTTTCCTCTTGGTCTCTCTGTGTGTGGCTGCAGCCCAATTCATATAAAATGCCAGATGTGGAAGATGTAGGCATGGCTTGGGGAAAACTTCCTTGGCGGCCAAATTAGGACCCCTGCTAGTTCTAATTAGGTGTGTGGGGTGGAGGTTCCTCAGGCTTTCAACGGTATGGTTGGGTTTCAGCAGTCATCTCTCAATTTAATAATCCAAGATGTAAATTAGCCTTGTTCTCCCCACACTCAGCTGCTTTGCTCCTCCATTCATGTGTTCTGTTAACTATACCTTTCCATTATGTCCAAATCAGGAAACTGGTTATTGGCTAACACTCCACCCCATTTTGAAAAGTAAAGATTATCACCCTGCCCTTACGTTCACACGGAAGATCCCTTTAGGTGCCAACACTGAGGATTCCTACTCTTTGGCATGCTTTGGATAAATCATAAAGGAAGGATAAATGTAAGAAGATAATATCATGCTCTTTCATTTCTCTAATTTAGTCTCCCTCTCAGACTTTCAACATCAGCATGTCACCTCTTTCCCCTTGCACACTAAGCAGCCATTTTTTGTTCATTATCCCATATTTCTCCCTCTATCTCAATATATTTTCATTTCCCATTCCCTTCTGAACAAGTCTTTGGTAATTTACATTACAATTTGTATTTTATTTTATTTTATCAGTAAAGAGTGGTGGAATCTCTGCCGCCTTCAGAGTCCTGTTACTTCTGCCAATCTGAGTGGAAGGTGAGTGTTAGTACTGTATAATTCTAACTGCAGGCCGATAGGCCTAAATTAGGCTCATTGCCATTAACTTGACTGGTTTAGAATGCAGTGGCTCTTTGACCCTAGCTCTGCCATCTCCTTCAAAACACCCAGTTTCATCTGGCTACTACCAGCATCAATTAAGGAGTAATCTGGTGGGACTTTTAATCTCAGATGAAGATGAATTAGTTTTAAAAATTGGAGTCATCTTCCTCTTATCATCCTATTGATTTTAAGAAGGATTCTGCAGATGAATATAATAATAAATACAGTATACCACATCTTGTTTTCTCTCTGTTTTCCAAGGAAAACACATTTCAGAGTTAAAAATATAAAATACAGAGGACTGCAAATGTAAATTGTACTTATTAATAGACTGGAAATACAACCCAAGAATAAAAAGGATTGTAAAACCTTGAAAAATTAAATCCATAAACTTGAAAACAGTCTAAGATTAAGAAATGCCATATTGCTTAAAGTCCCTAAGGGCAAAGTCACTAAAAGAACTTAAAAAATATATATTTCGGTATTGAGGAAATATAATATATATTCCTAGAAAAAAAGAGCCAAAGGAGGAAACAAAAATTAAACTACTTTCAATACTCTGTGCACACAACCAAGCAGGACGTTCTGCTGCACAAAACCCACTAAATTGAAAAGGAGTTGCACAGTGATATGTGCCCCACATCTCTGATTATTTTGCACCATCTCAAGCATCGTCATAAAAACTCAGCATTGAAAAGGCAACACAACACATAAAAATAAATTATATACTGCCAACAGAATTGCTTAATTTAAAGAGTTCTCAGGATAAGAACCTAATCTATAAAATGGATTAAGTGCTTAAATATATTGCATCTTAATTAAAAGTTGAACTATACAAGTTCCTCCAATGTGCTGTTAAGTGAACTAGCCAAGTGGAAAGCGTAACCTGATCTCTGAAGTGAAGAACTAATGATTTCTAGAGGGGGGCGGAATCTCCTTTTCTCAATCTCTCACATGCACCAATCAAATTGAATTATGAATTTACAGGTGCTCCCACCTTTATGTTTTAATCATGAGAGCACTCCTGCCACTTACTTCCAGCTGTAAACATATAGGGCCTAGTTTTATAGGTACTGCTATGCACAGAAAAGCATGTGGACTGTCAATATTCTTTTTTGCAAGAAGTTACTTCCATTTGCCAAGCAGAAGCTGATTCCAAGACCTTTTTAATAATCCCTTCATACCTTAATAGTGCCATAAGATTGAGATCACATAAGCAAAGCTGGAGATAAGTGGTTCACCAGAGGTGCCCATTATGAAAATTTCAACAATGCTAGAATCTGAAGGCGCCACATCATGGACTTGTCATTCTCACATGACATTACTTTTGACATTACCTGACCACAGTGAGTAGACTACATACCGCAGTGGCTTATACACCAGTAATGTAACGTCAAAAGGAGCTGTAGGAACCAACTCCTAGGGGCTGAGGTCCCTTCGCCCCTCCCCAATAAAATATTTGAGGAGGCACTCCTCCCATGTTTATGGGCATTGCCATTCAAGTAGTGTGTGCGTGCACTGCGTCATATATTATGTGGGGCAGGGCTTACCTGAGCCACCCCAATATTTTAGTCAAGTTGGCAGTCCTGGAAGGATTGCCAAGAGAGAAGCCAAAAGGCCCAGCAGGCTGGGAAATTATTTTTGCCCTGGGTGTGGGGCCAAGTGCCGTTATTGGTCAGTTGGTCCCATGCCCAGGGGAATGTCCTCTAATTCCTGCCGCCACTGGCCAATTTGGCAGCAGAAGGATGATCCAGCCTGTAATAGGCCAGTTCACAGAGGAACCCCGGGGCTCGCCTGCAAAGCCTCCTGTCCGAGAAGGAGCGAATGGACCTACTGAAGAAAGGCTAGGCTAGATCTGATTATTTTGCTGTTCATGTTTTATTTACTGCAGCTATCATGTTTATATATTGGTCTCCTACCAAGATTGAAACAGGTGTACAGAATCACTCCATGGGTTCATTGCATACCCATAGTATTCTCAAACTTTGTTTCATTTCTACAAATAGGAGTGTTGCAATAACTTATAACAAAATGTGGCAAGACTAGCAGTTCCCCAGCTATGACAGCTGAGGCTTCATAAAGCACTCCCAACAATTTGTATCCTCAGTATTTTATATTTGCATAACATCACGGCCAGACTCCAACAGCTGACTAATGCAAGTGCAGCTAGGGCTTTCCCCTTGTTAAGCAACAGCTTGCATTTGCTGATCCATGACTTCCATGGCTAGCAATGGGACCCTGTTTTGCAGATGGTTCATTGAACTGGGGTTAATGTTTGCAATAATGAACTTTTAAACCTGACAAAACAAAATCTAGGTAACATTCATATTCTTAACAGCAAGTAGGGAAATTTCCTATTTACACTTTTCAGATAGCCCTAATATACATTTTAAATCATGCTCAGTATGATTTGAAGTATAACATTCAATTACATTCATATACTTTTTAAAACTGTAAATCATGATTTTCACAAGGTTGCAAAAAAGATATTCACACCTTAACAACAAAAATCCTAACTGTCATAAATATTTATGCTGTTTTGTATGTATAGCCTTTTATGTATGCAGTTCTATTATTAGAAATATTTACTAAATCCCAGTTTTTCATAGAGCTGAGTACACTTGTCCCTACTGCATTAGTCCTCAAAGTTACTGCCCATTTGTTTGACTTTATTTTAAAACTGCAAATGCAGAATAATGAAAATCTAAATAGATAGACTTACCCCATTTAGAGGATAGGTTTTCCATCCTAGCTCTCCAATTGCAGAGGTTGTATCAAGCAATACAACTAGAAATAAATAAAAGGTTAATTAGTTGAAAGAAAAACCCACTTTATACAGATATGAAAAAAACCTCTTATAGGTTTACAACTTGTGTGTAAATAACAGCTGCTTTGATTTTTTTTGCATATCTCAGATAATAAAACTTACTTATAGCAAACATTTACTTTCTACAAAAATATGAAAAAAGATTGGCATGTTCTGAGGTTAGAATTAAAACATAACACATTAACACAGAAATACAAAGTGAAGTTGAAAAACCATAACAAAAGAAGAAAGAAGGGCAGTTCAATGACAACGAATGCCCATTCTTACATCAGCCTCTGCAATAAGGCTCCTCCTCCTCCCTTTCTAAAAGTTCAAGGTCATGGGAAGAAGCCCCATGCTACGATTTCTTTCCACAGCAACACCGCTTCCATTACAGGGAGACGCTGTTGTGGGAAGGGGGCAAGGCATGGGCTCCTCCTATGTGACCTTACATCTAAAGCACCAATAGCACACAGGTAAGAGCTCAATGTATTAAATCCAGGTGTGGAAGTTTCCATTGCCCATTGGAACAAGCAAACCATGTTTCCAGTTTAAAGTGCTGATGACTTGCTGCAAAGTAAGAATGTTCAAAACTCCATATGCATGGTTGTGCATAACTCCCACCTGAGTTTTGTCTGCCATTTTGAACCTAACCTAATCTCTTTGTTTTCCGTATCAGCAAAGTAGATACATTTCTGCTACTATTTTCTAATGTGCACAACAGAGAAATATAAGAAGTGGAGTTCTCTTAAGGTCAGTACTGGGACCTGTGCTTGTTCATAAATGATCTGGAGTTAGTCATGAGCAGCAAGGTGACCAAGTTGGCTGATGACACCAAAATGGTAGAGGCTGTCAAGAACAAAAAGAAATTGCAAACAGCTCCAAAATTATCTCTCCAAACTGGGTGGACAGGCAATCATTTACCGCCTCTTTCATATGGGACATCAGGGTCATCAAATGAAGCTTAGTGTGGAAGATTCAGAACAGACAAAAGGAAGTTATTCTTCACACAGAAATTGTTTATGAAATTTGTTACCATGAGGCATATCAATGCCAACTTGTATGGCTTTAAAAGGGATTTAGACAAATAGGTATCAGTTCCTTGGTAGGTGGGAGCACAACTGGGGAAAGTGCTGTTGCACTCATGTCCTGCTAGTGAACTTTCCATAGCCATCTGGCTGGCCAATGTGAGACTAGGATGCTAAACTGGATGGGCTTGTTCTGATTCAGCAGGGATCTTCTTATGTTTTTAAGATAGTTAAACGCATGCTGACTCCTTTAAAAAGGTACTGAACTAGATTATAACGAGAGAGGCATAATCTATTTTGCCTCTGCTCCATAACATAGGAGGCAGCTCTACTAAGAACATCCAAAATTTTGCATGGATGCGTGTGACTGAAGAAGGAACACACAAACTAGGATGAACCGCAAAGGCAATTAAATTGCCGGTAAAAATGCTTTTATTTGCATTATTCATCCAACGTAGTTTTTGGTATTTTGTGGAACTTTGAAAAAGTGTCTAATTGCTCTATGGAGAAAAATAAAGTTCAGATACTACACTTGATCTTAGCCAAAAGGCCGAGAAGCGACCTTCAGTTTTGGAAGACCCAAGGGTAGTGAGTTTTGTCTTCAGCAATTTATTTTAAATTGTAAGCCTCTGTAGATAATACATTATGCACCTAATATTTCTCTAAGTAGAAATGACAGTTCAACAGCAGCATTAGGTGACCATAAAGTCTAATCTCTGTAGTAAGTCTCTGGCTTGCTTATTCTTCAGGGAAAGTTTGTTATAAGTCAATGTATGATGTTTGAATAATAAAATGTGACATAATTAGAGAACCAAACCACAAAGGTATTGATTAGGAAAATGTAATACAAGACAAGTGGGTTATGAACCTACAAGCTGTCCAGTTATAGTAAACCTCCACAACTAAGAGAGCAAAACACATCCTGGACTAATTGGTTAAGCTGTCTGTGGACAAACGCTGACCCTCGGCTTATAGAGCGAGATGAGCGCACAACCCCAGAATCGTCTGCAACTGCACCTAACAGTCAGGGGTACCTTTACCTTTACCTTTAATCCTTATCCTAGTATACAAGGAGTGATGAGGCAAGCAATACATGGAATGGCTTTTACATCCCAAAGCCAAACAGGATGCTGCTGAATATTCACCAAGTGTGTCTTTGGTGAAAACTAGAAATAACTGTTTTGTATCACTGATAACATAGAAGAGCACAGAGGGAGGCTTTGTAAAACCACTGAGTCCAGATTCAAAAATTACCTAACTGCTCCACTGCCTGGAGTTGCTAAAAAGACATTTCATATCTAAGTAAAGCAACTCCACAAGGACATACAGGTTAGTCTATGGATGTTTGCTCAGTATTCCCATTACATTATTAGGTCATAGTCCTAAATATGTGCTCAGAAGACTAAATTTTTTTTGATATGTGTTCTAAGCTATCCTCTCCCTGGCTCTAGAAGAAACTTTCTGAACATGGTGCCTGCTAGATGTTGTTAGACTACAACAATCACCAGCCCCTGCTAGCGGGCATCAGGCTGAGGATGGCTGAACTAGTCTAGCTCTTGAGAGCCAGTGTGGTGTAGTGGTTAAAAGCGGTAGCCTCGTAATCTGGGGAACCGGGTTCGCGTCTCCGCTCCTCCACATGCAGCTGCTGGGTGACCTTGGGCCAGTCATACTTCTTTGAAGTCTCTCAGCCCCACTCACCTCACAGTGTTTGTTGTGGGGGAGGAAGGGAAAGGAGAATGTTAGCCGCTTTGAGACTCCTGAAGGGGAGTGAAAGGTGGGATATCAAATCCAAACTCTTGCACCCAGACTTTCTGATAGTAAAGTCATCCTAGTGTGATCATCAAGTTTGCACACACAATTTATTCTTTGGTGTCAATTTATTCTTCGAAAAATAATGACAACTAAGAGTTGAAGCTTTATAAAGTAAGCTACACAGCTGAATAAAATTACAGTCTCTTTGGCAAGTACCATTAGGCAATTAAAATGGGGAAAATATGGACCTCCTAACAATGCAGCTTTTTTTATTTCAACTTTCACTAGCAGTATTTTCTACCAAAACAACTCTAAAGGCTTAGAAAATGTTCCTGCTATGCTGAAATCTTTGACAATATTTGCATAGAAACTTTTCTAGGATAATGGGTATAATAGATGCCTACCCAGGGTTAGTATTTTTAACTATAATTTTTACCGCTGTGCAAATTGTTCTGCCTGAAGAAAACAGTGCATTCAGAATATATTCAGAAGCCCCAAATAGCTGCCTGTTTTCCAAAAGAGCCTAATCCAAAAGCATAACAAAAAGTATAAAGGGGATTTAAAAATTTACATTAATACACTGAGTGTGGAAGTTGGCCTTTCTAAGGTTTGAAAGTGCAGAAATAAGCTTCCTATTTTGTACATTAAAAGAGGGGAAAGAGGAAGAACAAATTTGTATTGGATTTAGCAGGTTAATTTTTTAAAAATAATAATCTTAGCCTACCCCAAGAGTTATCCGTGAATAATTACTGGTAGAAGTCATGATCCTTATGTTTGCTGTGGACTAGTTACTATAAAAGTCTGTCATTTACTTCAATGGAAAGGGAAAAAAATCAGTTTAAATGTCCCATACATGAAGGGACTCTCCATGTACATCAATATATTGAGACAGTGCTTTTTTCTAAAAAAAAAATGTTTAGGGGTACTCTCATTTTTACTCAAGAAAATCAACAATTTGTAATTCAAATCAGGAAAAATAATTACAGTAAATGGACAAAAGTACAAAGATTCAAAAAATGTTTAGACGTATGCGTACCCCTGCGTACCCCCAGAAAAAAGCACTGCATTGAGGGAACACTTAGATACACGTCTTTGTTAGTGTAGTAACATCACAACAAACAAAGGCTGATGGGAGTTGTAGTCCAACAAAATCTGGAGGTTAGCCACCCCTGCTTAGAATGTTCATAAACATTTTATGTATTGACAGAAATACAGAGTGTTCACAGGCAACTTTTCTGATAAAATTAAAAGATATTTGAAAGCAGTGTTTCCCTAATAATAATAATAATAATAATAATAATAATAATTTATCCCCTGCCCATCAGACTGGGTTTCCCCAGCCACTAAAGATTGTTGTTGTTGTTGTTGTTCTGATGGTGTTTCTGGAAAATCACTATTTCTTATTTGGCATTTGGGGATACATGGAGGCCCAGATACTTGGATTTTAAAATGGTGCTATCATGCCTGCATGCCTGCATTGGAGTTGGCTTCTGCTATGTGAACAAACCTAGGCTATGTCTAAATTCATTATTTCAAGAGGTCTTGCACCCTGCCCAAATTGTAAGCACTGCCGAATGTGCTTGGGTTGTAGCTGCTTTATAAAAATTGCAACCAGTTTCCGAATATACCTGCTTCAGAAGCCTGTGGAGAGGCTGGCTGCTGCATAGAAAATCAACACAGCACACCACAGGTGCAAGAAAGAGTCTCAACAGTTGTGGGAGAACTCAGGCAATGCATTTTTGGCATTGTGAAAAAGGTGTACAACAATGTCCCTATTTTCATCTGTTAAATGTGAGACACTTCTGAATGTCCCAGTCCCAATGTACAATGTGCTTCTTGCAACAACCATTTATCTATATAAAAAAACCATATATCACAATATAGTAAGAATACTTACACAGCTTATATAAAGGCAATATAACAATATCAATGAATGAATATTTAAATAAAGATACATTGGTGGCTCTGGAGATTGTTAGAAGCAAGAAGAGCTGTGCTGGCAAGGTATGAGAAGATCATATAGGAGAACCTCCTCTCCTTTTATAGCTGTTTACTTTTGTTGTTGTTTTATTTGCTTTTTGTCTTTGCTGGGTTTTTATTCATAAAGTAAGATACCCTTGTTCCAAATAAATGGGAGAGGAATAATAGGAGGTGGGGGAGAAGAAAGCCCTGAGGCTAGGGGAGAGAAATACAGAAACCTGAGGTAACGTAGTTACAGGAGAGGACTGAGGAAAACACAGAGCAAAACCGAGAAATGGAGTACACTAAAGGAATATGGGAAAAGCTCACACAGGGAGCAGAAACTCAGTAGTACCGGCAGGAAGTTAAACGGACAAAGCAGGTGGGAATCCAATGAGGAAGAAATGGCTGGAAGAAATGCCTGACTAGGTCATGGCCATCAGACATATGGCTTTAGGGCAACCTTCACCAACCTATTTCTCTGCAGAATGATGTGAGGCTGAGGCTGATGGTAGTCCAAAACATGTGGAGGGCACCTGGCTGCCAGAGCCTGCACAACTGCTTCACTTTTGGGGTCCCCATAAGAGCCCACAGCATCCCTCATACACTCCACTTGATCCAGTCAGCTTCAGAGTCAGTAGGCCATGGACGGCAGGCTGCCACACTTAACAACCAGAAGCAATCTAGAAATTCTTGAGGCAAGCTTTTATCAATGAAATAAAACAAAATAAAAGCATCCTACTCCTTAGGAACGTGAGGCAAAATGCTGCCTGCTAAACCATGAGCGCCGGATTTATGGTGCTGTACAAGTTCAGGTAGCTTAACTGAGTTCTCAAGTCACTGTCTGGCATAGCTCTAAAAACACAGGCCTGAAACTGGGCGTCTCCTACTCTGAGGGAAGGAGACAGGCTGGTCCTGGCCAAGGAAAGGTGGCGTTTTAGAAAGCTTCAACCAGGACAATCTTTGCCACTTCATTTTGTCTGGCGAGGGCTTCTGCGCCTTTTAAAAGCTTTGTGACTGGCAAAAATGTTACAGTATGTGATACTGTTTTTCCTGTTGCTGTACGGTGGGAATATCTGCAGCTGTTACGTTCCCGCCTGTCATGCACCTTGAAAAGCACAAAAGCTACGTGTGGGTCACTCTGTGAGAAAAGTGACTAACAAATAATTTTATTAACAACAACAACTATAATATTACAAAAAGCCAGCCCTCATTAGCTATGCTTTTTCATTTCATAGTAACAAAATGAGTAATAGAACAAGAGAGTCAACTAAGGGAGGCAGCTAACCCTAGTCCAGTTCAGAAAATTCCATTTTAAAAGTCTGTTTCCAGCTTGCTAGATACACCTTGTTGAGAATACCAAAGGACTCAAAAGTAGGCTCCCCACCCTACATCACAAACAGCCCACATCTGAACAGACCATCACTCCCTAGCAGGAAAGAAGCATTCTGTTCTGCCATCAAGTAAAAATAAAAATAAAATCAACCACTAAATCTTTGTTGTGCGTTAAATGGGCCAAAGTAGTCAAAATTTGTGTAGAATGTAATATTACTAATAGGAATCTGTGCTTCAGCCATTAAATAAATTAACTTCTTGCAGAACAATCAAAACCCTGCTGCTTTGTGAGAAAGGGATTTGTGACAAATATGTCCTAGGAAAGCAGTTCTTCTGAGACTTCCAATGGCCTGTAGTGAATATATCTGGGGGAAGGATGATTAGGCCGGTGGAGTGCAGCAGAAGTGTTGCATCACTACTCTTGAAAATGAAGTAATGTCACTTTGAGTGACTTAGTTCAAAGTAATTCTCCAAAGGTCTACTTCAGCCTTAAGTGCCTCTTATGTAACCCACTGA